AAATCTGACCCCCAACCCAAAACTCTGAAATGAAAATGATACACAAAATGTATATTAACTCACTGAAAGCTAGGATGTTCACTCACTCCCTGCACTGTCAGCGATCATCAACTAGATTCAGCCACAGGCCAATTTTATTTCTCTCCCCTCCTCCCACACACAAACAATCATTTCAAACCTTGCTTACATTTGAATACGACCACATATATCTCTTTATTATGCGTGGGAATACTTTGGATTTCTCAAATAAAAATGTGCCAGGGCAGGGGTTACAGGCAGAGTGGTGGACAGGCCAGGGGGTGCCAGGGGTAGGGGCAGGGGATGGGGCAGGCAGGCAAGCAAGCTCTGGGGTGCTTGGGGAAAATGCCAATGCAGCTGACAGGATGTTATGTGAAGGAGATGAGCACAGCGCTCAGAGAGAGAAATAGACAGGGAGCAGGAGAACTAGAAAGAGAGAGATTTGAGTGAGATTGTAAGAGGCAAAGTGCAGCTGTATACTAGAGGCAGATCTGGAGGACTGCTTGTCAGTGAGTTTGGAGTATGGTTGATGATGAATTCACTACAGAGTGAAGATGTTTATCCTGAGATGTTGTTCTCTCTTACAGTATCACCTTTCTGCAGGATCCACTCGCCCATTACAATCTCTGAGGGTTGGCGGGATGCACTCTTATTACTGGGTTATACCATAGCAAACACTATACATGGTTCACTGCACGCATTGTAATTAAAGTGAGCTTAGAGCAACTTGGAAATATTGTTTTATAAAAGTGGTTGATTCACAATTACTTATTCTCAAATTCCATAAACTTGGATTTATTAACATTTTCCATTTGAGTATTTATTTCTAACATACCTTACAACTGCTCAAAAGAATTGTAACTGTGACCAAACCAAACACAAACAAAAAGCACCATGATTAGTCAAACAAACTAAACTCCCCTTTCCCCTCAGAGGTCACTGTGATGATGAATCCAGCTCAGAGCCCCTGCTGAGGCCAGATCATGACAATGGAGAGTCCTGAGGCTGGTCACCACTGTCACTATTCAACTCATTTCTATTGTGATTTAATAGTCAATTTGTCTCAATATTTTGCTCAATAAGACAAGATAGTCGAGGTAAATGTCCCTCCTCTCTCCCCTTAATTCATGATGTTAACACAGCTCTTCCTCAGATAGACATATATCACCAAGGGGCGACGGCTAAAGAGACAGTTCCTTCCTTTTTAGGGCCAGCGTACTGTGCACTGTGGATCTGTGTAGTAGAGTCTCTCTCCGTCCTCGGCTGTTCTGTCAGTCAGCTCGGCCATCTCAGCACACAGGGTCATGAGGGTTAAGCAGCATCTGTCATCCAGAGGAACGCCGTTGTGTTGGTGGGAGGAGGTCAGAGAGATCCTCGTCTGTCTGAAGGTCCCCACCTCCTCCACCTCTCTCTGCACAACATGAGGGACTAAGAAGAATCTCTGGGGCTAGGCTCAGCCCAGCTCGGAAGATGAGGAAACACTGACATCATTGCCATCTAACACAATGCCACGAGTGTGCAAAGCTGTCATCAAGGTAAAGGATGGCTACTTTGAATAATCTAAAATCTATTTTGATCTGTTTAACACTTTTTTGGTTACTACATGATTCCATATGTGTTATTTCATAGTTATGATGTCCTCACTATTATTCTACAATGTAGAAAATAGTAAAAATAAAGAAAAACACTTGAATGAGTAGGTGTGTCCAAACTTTTGACTGGTACTGTATATATATATATATATATATATATATATATATGAGATTAGAGGTGAGGGGTCAGCCCATTACATTTGTGCCAGATCCATATATTCTGGACTGGGCATTCTAAATGGTGGCCAGGCCATAGCCCCTAACAGGCATCAATCTCTGGTTCATTCCTGTTCGCCTGTGCGTGCACTTGGGTGTGAGCGGTCTTACAGTGTGTGATTGACTCTGCCCATGTCCCCTTTTAGAAACAGTATTATTTGCCTGTTCTGGTGCAGATATGACTTGTTTCCGTGCACCGGGCACATGTGACCATTCTCCACAAACAAGAATAAAAGAGCGGATATCTCAGCCAGCAGACTGACCGCTTTTCCTGTTCTCCAGCGCCGGCTCTGTTGTTGTTGTGTGACACTACTGACCTCCAGGAGACGGATGTGGAGTCATTCTGGAGTCACAAATACACTTTCTAACACTCCCAAGGTCTGAGTGAACCAGACGTGACTGCTGAGGTGTCGGCGCTAACTTTTTGTTTGCTAGTGGAGAGAAGGAATAATTTAGGTGTACTGCTGTAAATGAGAGCTCATGACTAGATTAGACTCAGAAGAGTGACTATTTCCATTGCAATCTTTGAACACAATCATAACTTTTATTACACCAGGAATGTGATTATGTCGATTGACTTTATCTACCATATTGGGAAAATATTGAAAAAGGATGTTGAAGATTTTTTATTCTGACCTGAACCATCTCATTCATGGGACCAACATCAGAACCTTCACATGTACCACAGGCAGCTCTTATTCTCCCCTGGTCTTGTGAGATGGAGTGACTTAGAGGAGAGAGAAAGACAGAATGGAAAAAAAGAAAGACAAATATAACAAAGAAAAGAAAGAAACAGACTTCAAACAAACACTGCGGTCACACTATTTGGATAGTCCCAAATAGATGGTCATACCATCAACAAACTATCTACTGCTTGCTAAGGTTACGGTTAGAATACGGGTTAGGTTTAAATTTAGGGTTAGGTTAAGGATTAAGGTTAGGAGATATTTTAAATGTTGAGTTATTGAACATCTACTTGGGACTATCCAAATAAAGTACTACCAACACTGCTACAGATAGCAATATCTCCTCCTCTATCATGTCTTACCATGTACAGTGTGGCAAAACAAGGTGGTGGCATTAGTTTACAGCAGCTGATTTGATTTGCACCTTGTTGTGGTCCTCTGTAGCTCAGTTGGTAGAGCATGACACTTGCAATGCCAGGATAGTGGGTTCAATTCCTGTGACCACACATACGTAAAATGTATGCACGCATGACTAAGTCGCTTTGGATAAAAGTGTCTGGTAAATAGCATATTATATCCATGCAATCTGGACACACTAGGGTATATTATTCATTACTGCACACCGTAGCAAAATGTTTTGCAATGAAAGCGAGCATTTGTTATTGGACAAGTTCAGGTAGTCCCTCCCGGTTTGTCCATTTTCTTCTATCTAGTGTATATGACCGAGTTCTCTCAGGTCAAAATTAATTCCATTTACATAGGCTTCAGATTCAGAAGAATGCTATTCAAAATGAAGAATAAAGAGACTAAGAGAAAAAAAAATTGCCAATATCAGACCACGTCAGAATAAACTAAGCAGAAGCGGTCCATTTTTTGTTGACATTTATTCAGGTATTTAGATGCATTATGTAGACTTTCCGCGGCACAAAACTCTACAAACGGAAAAGGCAAAACAAAATGAAATACATTCACTACCATGTCCCCTGAATTTCAGATGATCAGAAACATTTAAAAGCTTTTTTTTCCTTCTAGAGATTTAACAGTAGATTTCATAAATCATGACCACACTGTACAATTTTTCTTGTAAAGACTACCTCCCCTGTCCTTTCCCACATCATTTTCTCAACAGCGCAGATAGTGAACCATTGTTCTATGAGACAAGAACTGGGTTGCATTCTGGAGTTTTCATACGTTTTTTATTCAATATAAGGCAGAGGCTGTAGACGCAGACCTTAAGACATTGGTCATATTCAACACTCCTCTTACAGTTTCTTTGACTGCATATACAGTCATTGATGGGAAATGTGGACTTCATCAGTCCCATTATGGCCTTGACTTTCAATGTCCTGTCAGTCACTCACATAACTGAAACTGACATGGGTACTCATGATATCTCTACTCAGTTATGGGGTTCAGGAGAGTTCAGTTGGCCATCTAAGTTGACCATCTATCTGCTGGCGAGTCAGTATTGCTGAATTGCCCTTGGGAAGGGTGTGGATAGTAAACAAACATGTAAATGAATGATATCACGCAGAGCCATTCATACTCTTTGGGTGAGCACTAAAATCATCACTAAGAAGGTTCTCACATCACCCTGTGAGGCTTAAACAATACAAATATACCATCAAGGCTAAGCTCGTCATAAAAAAATATTCCATCTGTCTCAGCTGCAAGCATGTCTGTTTATAAAAATAGGCAGAAAGGCTGAGGTTGATTGACAAGGTAAGATACACATGCATTCTTTATTGTCCCACAAGCACGCAGACATACACACACTAACATGAAGGCACTTATGTGCTTAAACACACAGAGCCGCATTCAGGCTCCAGCACGGCACTGTCCGACCAGCTTGCTGCTGGGGAGTGCTGTTGTCTACATCAGTACAGTATCACTGCAGGGAATTATCACCACACCACAGCTCAATAGAACAAACATGCATTAGGACCTTGAGAACATTGTGGTTCAGTTTAAACAGATCTTCAAGTCATTGCAAACCTCAAGCCCTTCATCTACCCCAGGGATGGGCAACTCCAGTCCTTGGGGGCCGGAGTGGTGTCACTTTTCCCCCACCCCTAGCAAACTCAGCTGATTAAACAAATTGCATTCTAAACTGAAGATCATGATTAGTTGTTTATTGGAGTCAGGTGTGTTAGCTGGTGCTGGGGCAAAAGTGAGACACCAAATCAGGCCCCCGAGGACTGTAGTTGCTCATCCCTGGTCTACCCCCTGTTGATTAGTGTCCCAGAAGTAAATCCTAAAAGACTACTGAGTGGTTCCTAACTGGTGCCTGTGTGGAGCCAGAAGGCATGGTGGTGCTAGTTAGCTTCCAGAAGCAGACCCCCGTCTGGGGAAGAGGTAGAGGGGTAGCTGACAGAGTGGAGGTACTGTATGGGTACAGTAAGGCAGTGTAGTGCTGAGTGAGTAGGTAGGGAGGCAGCTGCGACTAAACAGGCCCAGTCAGGTGAGGCCTGGTGTAGGCTGGGGTGGTGCTTGGTGTCTGTTGACCTGCTGCCCCTGCTCAGCAGGATACGACCAGCAGCAGAACACGGTCACAGAGATCCACAGGAATAAGACAGGCAGACAGTCAGGCTACTTAGGTGGTGTGGTGGTGGAGTGCAGGGTGGGGTGAGCAGTGCGTGACAGAGACTGGAGGGGTGTAGCACCATCTGTGACTGTTTTTCAGTGCGGTTTCGCTCTGGGGACATCCGCTGGGGAGGAGCGGATTGAGTGAGTGTGAGCGTGTGGAGGATGGAGAGTGTGGAAAAACAGTGACAGCTCCAAACACTCCAACAGCCACTTCCCTTCAGTTGAAGGATCCTGCATGGATCTGCCCAGCTTGAGCTTGGAAGAGATCAGCCACCGCAAAGTCATTCACACCTGTGTGCGCGCGCGGGCGCGTGTCTACATGTGCGTGTTTGTGCTTGTGTGTATTAGTGTGTGTGTGTGTTAATTTGCATGGAAGTGAGAGTGAAATACCTGTGTGGACAAGATTGTCAGAGTGTTAATAAGATGCAGAGGGAGGGTGAGGGGGAGAGATTAGGATGGGCATAGGTGCCAAGGGTGTCAGTAATCTCTTAATGAACGCCATGGCAGGAAGGGACATGTATATGGAGAACACACTGACAGGCTCTCTCTCACCAGCTAATCGAAAACCACAGAGTTATGAACAGCTAGAAGAGGACAGGGAGGACATTGTCTTAAAAGGAATGATCTGGAGAAAATATTGATGAATACAAAGGAAAACAAAAAAGGTCAAGGCAACAGACCACAGAGGAACGATCCTCCTCGACTGGAATAACAAAATACAGGTCCAACACCTGCAATAATGGAATCATGCCAATTAAATGCTTTGAAAATATTAATCTCGATCAACAACCAAGCAGCCCTCTAAGCGTCTATCAAGAGAAGATAGAGGGACTAGTCTATCAACAACATGGTCGTGGTAGCTGGCTATACAGAGGTCATTGCTGCTTGAAATCATCAAAATTAACTGGAGCCTTATCAGCTAGGATCGTGTCACTTTCTACAAATCAATTATTCTGTGGATAGAATGTCTATGATTGGGTGCCGGTAGGTCAGGGTGTTGGTCTATTGATCGATTGGAGCAGAGCCCTCGTCCTCCACATCCTGAATCAGCAAGGTAAAAGGTGGCACGCAGGGAGCACACGTCGAAATTCTTCATCTTCACTCTTCATCGCTGTTTAAAACCCTCCATCTCATTCGGCATCGGCAGCACTGGTTCCCCGTACTTGACCTTGTTTGCGAAGCTGAGGTGGAGGAAAGGGGAGGGGGATAAGCAGAGAAAGAGAGGAGGAAATAAACAGTCATTTATTACATCTCTACAGAGACCAAACAAGTGGAGGCAGGTTCTGTGACTGCATGCGTCAACAAGTGGAATTCTGCAAGGAGAAAGGCTGCTTGTTACTGTGAAAGAAACTGGGATGGATGTGGCTGAGAAATGCCATCATTCTGTTCACTGAGAAACAATCTACATTAAGAATATCTCTGAAAAAATTAAAACCTTTCCCTTTGCAAACTGCAAACTGTTTTTTTTAAAGAATGTCTCTAAAATGGTTCTTATTGAGCCCTTGTTTATCTTGTAGGTAGATAAAGGCATTGGTTTCAGGTCCTCACACCCTAAGGCTGATGACTTTAGAAAGTCAATTAGTGGCTAAATCTGATAGCGGAATACCTTAATGGAACACTTCAACCACACCACGCTGGCCCTAAACATCTGATGAAATGGCATGAGGATTCTACCTTCCAATTCTCCATCATTTCTTCCCTCCCTCCTGCTCAATCACAGCACAGGCTCCTTTTCAACTGCAGAATTCCATTTGTATGTTAATGAGGCAGAGGAAGCCATCTTGAAGGGTTTTTCTCCCCCCACCCGCCAACCCCAGCACCTCGCCTCCCCTCTCCCCACCACCACCCCACCCGTGTTAGAACACAAGCAGACAGACAGGCATGTTAGTGCATCATCTCCAAAACATGGTGTTTCTCACTCACACAGTATAGTCTAAGATCCTGATACATCATTACTACTCAACCTTTGCTTGAGCTTCATTCACCTGAAGCACATGTTCAAAGTCATATATATATATATATATATATATCTCAAAAAAATAAAGGGAACACTTAAACAACACAATGTAACTCCAAGTCAATCACACTTCTGTGAAATCAAACTGTCCACTTAGAAAGCAACACTTATTGACAATACATTTCACATGCTGTTGTGCAAATGGAATAGACAACAGGTGGAAATTATAGGCAATTAGCAAGACACCCCCAATAACAGACTGGTTTTGCAGGTGGTGACCACAGACCACTTCTCAGTTCCTATGCTTCCTGGCTGATGTTTTGGTCATTTTTGAATGCTGGCGGTGCTTTCACTCTAGTGGTAGCATGAGACGGAGTCTATAACCCACACAAGTGGCTCAGGTAGTGCAGCTCATCCAGGATGGCACATCAATGCGAGCTGTGGCAAGAAGGTTTGCTGTGTCTGTCAGCGTAGTGTCCAGAGCATGGAGGCGCTACCAGGAGACAGGCCAGTACATCAGGAGACGTGGAGGAGGCTGTAGGAGGGCAACAACCCAGCAGCAGGACTGCTACCTCCGCCTTTGTGCAAGGAGGAGCACTGCCAGAGCCCTGCAAAATGACCTCCAGCAGGCCACAAATGTGCATGTGTCTGCTCAAACGGTCAGAAACAGACTCCATGAGGGTGGTATGAGGGCCCGACGTCCACAGGTGGGGGTTGTGCTTACAGCCCAACACCGTGCAGGACGTTTGGCATTTGCCAGAGAACACCAAGATTGGCAAATTCGCCACTGGCGCCCTGTGCTCTTCACAGATGAAAGCAGGTTCACACTGAGCACGTGACAGACGTGACAGAGTCTGGAGACGCCGTGGAGAACGTTCTGCTGCCTGCAACATCCTCCAGCATTACCGGTTTGGCGGTGGGTCAGTCATGGTGTGGGGTGGCATTTCTTTGGGGGGCCGCACAGCCCTCCATGTGCTCGCCAGAGGTAGCCTGACTGCCATTAGGTACCGAGATGAGATCCTCAGACCCCTTGTGAGACCATATGCTGGTGCGGTTGGCCCTGGGTTCCTCCTAATGCAAGACGATGCGAGACCTCATGTGGTTGGAGTGTGTCAGCAGTTCCTGCAAGAGGAAGGCATTGATGCTATGGACTGTCCCGCCCGTTCCCCAGACCTGAATCCAATTGAGCACATCTGGGACATCATGTCTCGCTCCATCCACCAACGCCACGTTGCACCACAGACTGTCCAGGAGTTGGCGGATGCTTTAGTCCAGGTCTGGGAGGAGATCCCTCTGGAGACCATCCGCCATCTCATCAGGAGCATGCCCAGGCGTTGTAGGGAGGTCATACAGGCACGTGGAGGCCACACACACACTACTGAGCCTCATTTTGACTTGTTTTAAGGACATTACATCAAAGTTGGATCAGCCTGTAGTGTGGTTTTCCACTTTAATTTTGAGGGTGACTCCAAATCCAGACCTCCATGGGTTGATAAATTTGATTTCCATTGATAATTTGTGTGATTTTGTTGTCAGCACATTCAACTATGTAAATAATTTTTTTTTTAAATAAGATTATTTCATTCATTCAGATCTAGGATGTGTTATTTTAGTGTTCCCTTTATTTTTTTGAGCAGTGTATGTATATGTATATATATATATATACACACACATATACATACAGTGGGGAGAACAAGTATTTGATACACTGCCGATTTTGCAGGTTTTCCTACTTACAAAACATGTAGAGGTCTGTAATTTTTATCATAGGTACACTTCAACTGTGAGAGACGGAATCTAAAACAAAAATCCAGAAAATCACATTGCATGATTTTTAAGTAATTAATTTGCATTTTATTGCATGACATAAGTATTTGATCACCTACCTACCAGTAAGAATTCCGGCTCTCACAGACCTGTTAGTTTTTCTTTAAGAAGCCCCCCTGTTCTCCACTCATTACCTGTATTAACTGCACCCGTTTGAACTCTTTACCTGTATAAAAGACACCTGTCCACACACTCAAACAAACAGACTCCAACCTCTCCACAATGGCCAAGACCAGAGAGCTGTGTAAGGACATCAGGGATAAAATGGTAGACCTGCACAAGGCTGGGATGGGCTACAGGACAATAGGCAAGCAGCTTGGTGAGAAGGCAACAACTGTTGGTGCAATTATTAGAAAATGGAAGAAGTTAAAGATGACAGTCAATCACCCTCGGTCTGGGGCTCCATGCAAGATCTCACCTTGTGTGTTCTCCCGAATGGCGCAGTGGTCTAAGGCACTGCATCGCAGTGCTAGCTGTGCCACTAGAGATCCTGGTTCGAATACAGGCTCTGTCGTAGCCGGCCGCGACCGGGAGACCCATGGGGCGGCGCACAATTGGCCCAGGGTAGGGGAGGGAATGGCCGGCAGGGATGTAGCTCAGTTGGTAGAGCATGGCGTTTGCAACGCCAGGGTTGTGGGTTCGATTCCCACGGGGGGCCAGTATGAAAAAAATAATGTATGCACTCACTTAACTGTAAGTCGCTCTGGATAAGAGCGTCTGCTAAATGACTAAAATGTAATGTAAATGTGGGGCATCAATGACAACGACCCGAAACACACAGCCAGGGCAACTAAGGAGTGGCTCCGTAAGAAGCATCTCAAAGTCCTGGAGTGGCCTAGCCAGTCTCCAGACCTGAACCCAATAGAAAATCTTTGGAGGGAGCTGAAAGTCCGTATTACCCAGCGACAGCCCCGAAACCTGAAGGTCTGTATGGAGGAGTGGGCCAAAATCCCTGCTGCAGTGTGTGCAAACCTGGTCAAGACCTACAGGAAACGTATGATCTCTGTAATTGCAAACAAAGGTTTCTGTATCAAATATTAAGTTCTGCTTTTCTGATGTATCAAATACTTATGTCATGCAATAAAATGCAATAAAATGCAAATTAATTACTTAAAAATCATACAATGTGATTTTCTGGATTTGTGTTTTAGATTCCGTCTCTCACAATTGAAGTGTACCTATGATAAAAATGACAGACCTCTACCTGCTTTGTAAGTAAGAAAACCTGCAAAATTGGCAGTGTATCAAATACTTGTTCTCCCCACTGTATATATATATATATATATATATACATATATATAAAGGTGATAAGCTGTCTAGGACATTGAGCTGAACCATCTACAGGAGCTGGGGGTGTATTGTTGTTGAACTAGTAAAGAACAAACTCTGAGCTTGTCGTTATAATGGTATTCCACTCCAACATATGGGTGCCGCTCTGTGGAGCCCTACAGTACTGGCAAAGTGTAACCGTGGCGACCCCTCAGCTCAGAGGCCCATGCCGAGGGCCTCTGATGGCACCCGTCTGTTTACATAGTCCAGGAGAAAATGGGAAACACATGCAGGATTGGACGAGATGTAGAGAGGGAAGAAACAGAGCTCCAAATGATCAGCTTTGGTGCCAGGCCAGGAATGCTTGAGCCTGGCCCACTTTGGCCAGTCCGGCCCAGATTCCTCCCTTTTTTCTCCATGTACGGCCAAAAGCGCTCAGATTGATATTTCAAGTGGGGCCAAGAGGGAGTGAGTGGTAAGGCCTTACTGAGAATGTGATACACAAACAGAACTCTGCAGTGCCAGAGGAGCGTTTTTGTGTGTGTGTTTGTTATCCATATTCTCTATGGCCTTTCTTTGGACTACAGATACAAGGCCAGAAACCAGTGCTGACTTTTTTTTAGTATGGCTTTGACTGGCTGCCATAGCCTTTTTAAAACCGGCTCTCTCGCCTTGGCTCTGAAAACAGGCTGAACAGATGTCTGCCCTCACATGGGGAGATTGAGTAGGCACTCACACACACACACACACACGGCAGGGAGCTTTTCGCCATGTCAGCAATACACTTAACGATCTGGCAAATGCTTCATTTCTCTGAGATCTGGTGTTATTGATTAACTAATACAGTCAGAGTTATGGAAGTTCACGCGACAAGAACGCACACACAGACACTCACACAAACCATAGACCATAAATCCTTGTTATGACACCACTGTATATGGAGTGAAAGCAGTGTAGCCATGCAGCAATACCAATAGAACCCAGTGGGAGAAGGAAGACAAGGAATCGATGAGAGTTGGTGGAGGAGGAACCAACATGTCTGCTATCGGCTCGACTCCGCCACCAATTGCACTTACACAGCCTTCCTCAGACCTACACCTGGGGCAGCTACTCGTCTGAAGCCTTCGTGCCTCGAACAGAGCCCTTCCTACGCATCTAGATGTAAAATGATAGAATCAGGAGCCTGTGAGGGCAGAGTTAGAGATTGGGGGAAAGGAAGCGAGGGTTCCCACACAAGTTACCTATCTAAATGTTTATGACTTTTTAATTTCTCAAGAATTAAAGTTTTAATTGGTAATACTTATATTATATAATGAACACTCACAATGGACCAAGACTAGGCTGTCTATTCCAAAATGTAGGCCTGACTGTAAAAGGAGTGGTAGGCTATACAGTGCATTCGGAAAGTATTCAGACCCCTTGACTTTTCCCCAAAAATTACGTTACAGCTTTATTCTAAAATTGATAAAATTGGTCCCACCCCCCACCCATCAATCTACACACAATACCCCATAATGACAAAGCAAAAACAGGTTTTTAGAAATCTTTGCAAATTTTAAACAAAATAAATGAAATATCACATTTACATAAGTATTCAGACCCTTTACTCAGTACTTTGTTTATGGACCTTTGGCAGCGATTACAGCCTTGAGTCTTCTTGGGTATGACGCTACAAGCTTGGCACACCACAGCATGATGCTGCCACCACCATGCTTCACCGTAGGGATGGTGCCAGGTTTCCTCCAGACGTGACGCTTGGCATTCAGGCCAAAGAGTTCAATCTTGGTTTCATCAGACCAGAGAATCTTGTTTCTCATGGTCTGAGAGTCCTTTCAGTGCCCTTTGGCAAACTCCAAGCGGGCTGTCATGTGCCTTTTACTAAGGAGTGGCTTCCGTCTGGCCACTCTACCATAAAGGCCTGATTGGTGGAGTGCTGCAGAGATGGTTGTCCTTCTGGAAGGTTCTCCCATCTCCACAGAGGAACTCTGGAGCTCTGTTAGTGACCATCGGGTTCTTGGTCACCTCCCTGACCAAGGCCCTTCTCCCCTGATTGCTCAGTTTGGCCAGGCGGCCAGCTCTAGGAAGAGTCTTGGTGGTTCCAAACTTCATCTTTCTTAAATGGAAGGAGGCCACTGTGTTCTTGGAGACCTTCAATGCTGTATACATTTTTTGGTACCCTTCCCCAGATATGTGCCTCGACACAATCCTGTCTCGGAGCTCTACAGACAATTCCTTTGACCTCATGGCTTGGTTTTTGCTATGACATGCACTGTCAACTGTGGGACCTTATATAGACAGGTGTGTGCCTTTCTAAATAATGTCCAATCAATTTAATTTACCACAGGTGGACTCCAATCAAGTTGATCAATGGAAACAGGATGCACCTGAGCTCAATTTCGAGTCTCATAGCAAAGGGTCTGAATACTTATGTAAATAAGGTATATTTTTTAATACATTTGCAATCATTTCTAAAAAAATTGTTCCTAATCAATTTTAGAATAAGGCTGTAACGTAACAAAATGTGGAAAAAGTGAAGGGGTCTGAATACTTTCCGAATGCACTGTATGTGATTACAATTCTCTCTCCTCACAGTTGAGATGGATTTCTTTGAAAATATCACATTTCCCCTGATTTTTCCAGAATAAACAATGTGTGGGAACCCTGGGAGGGGGAGACCGACAGACAGGCTGGAAAAGGGGATAGGGGCAGCAAATGGCAGGAATGTAGAATTCCAGCACCATATCCCTTTGGGCCAGCAGTGTGAGTACACATGGTCGAATCAAACAAACACAGTAAAAAAAAAAAAACCTTATCAGTAGAGGGAAGGTACACAAGAAGACTAGGACTGATGTTCCTTTCAACATGATTATTTAGCAAAATTATGACAAGCAGTAAATAAAGTCACATAAGATGGGAAAAATTACAACGTCAGAAAATCATACACGCTTTAGTTTGTCATAAAACATGAAAAGCTGATTTATTTACAGCAAAGTATAAGGAGGGGGATCATTGATTTGACAGATTGAAATAAATAAACAGGGTGTTTAGCTCAGATTTTCAATTAAAAAGTAAAAAGAATTATCCGAATTCTAGGAAAAGGATCTAGGGAGGGATAATAATTTAGAGTGAATATTGTGTGTCATAGCACCACTAATGAACAGACCAACCAGCCAGCATGACTCTTTCAATGCGCTTCCTAACATTACCACAGACAGGCTAAGACAGCCTGCTATCCAACCATGGTCAAGACCCACCACCAGACCCACACTGCATTGCAGTGCTGCCCTATATGCTGGGATTTGCCACCATGACAACGATAAAGAGATGATGCCTAAAAACGGCACACTCGCTCTAATGGTTTGAGGTTTCGAGTGTAGCAAGCCCTGGTAAGTATTGAACCCTTCTCCTGTTTGTAGTCATATATGTTCCTTTACATACCTCCTCCAGCTCCTTCTGTGTCTCCGCCTCCATCCGCCTGATGTCCTCCATAGTCAGCTCCACCCACTTGTCGATCCAACAGAACAGCTGGCGATGGAAGTTAGTGAAGATACGCTTCTCTTGCTGGAGGAGAGAACATGGATAGAGACATATAGAGATAAAGAAAGAGGGTACCAGGAAGCATGGGTCAGTGACAGAATAAAAGGAAGATACACATCTTGGTCAGATGCTATACAGTCTAGTCCTGGATATCAAAAGACTGAGCATTTAAACCATATAACCCAGGTGTTTTTGGTGTACCTACAGATTATTTACAGTGCTGCTTGGATTATTATAGGCACTCTTGATGACTCAGTAGGCAGGTTTCCATTGACCCAGGTTCATTTTACAAAAGCAATGTTGCAACAAAAAAAACATTGCGACATGTGTAATGGAAACAGCAGCTATAGGAGAAATGTTCTAAAGATCAACAAAAATTGTATTCGTTCGACAGGGGTGGATTTTTCTTTATTTGCGAAAAACGACTAAGTTGTTTTGCCGATGATTGCCGACTAAGGTACGCGGGGCACGTGATGTCATCACAGAACTATAAAGCTCCACTCATTTAATTCAAAATACCAACTGATTGCTACATTTATTTTTCAATTATAAAAATAAATGTTTCTTTGCAGGACAAGGTTTGTCTTGACTTTCAAGAATGCCTGAATTGCTTCGCCTTGCTTTTCAGGTTGGCTGGGTGCAAGTTTTACCATCAAATTATATCAGATCTAGGCTACAGGAGTGTAAGTTTCGATACGTTGGCACATACTTAGAATATGGCAAACAGTCAATTCTTGCATTCTATCCATGCTGGCTTTCGCAGGATACCTGAGACATGAAACAGATAGGTGGGAGGGCATACAGGCTGTCGCCAGTTTATTAATGCGTGATTTGCCTAAATGGATAATGGAAACACTTCAAACCACTTCATTTTTATTCAACACTAGATTAACACAACATGCAATAATTTCAACCATTTTACTGAGTTACAATTCATATAAGGAAATCAGTCAATTGAAATAAATAAGGCCCTAATCTAAGGATTTCACATGACTGGGCAGGGGCGCAGTCATGGGTGGGCCTGTGAGGGCATAGACCCACCCACTGTGGAGCCAGGCCCAGCCAATCAAAATGAGTTTTTCCCCACAGACAGAAATACTCCTCAGTTTCATCAGCTGTGTTTCATCAGGGTGACTGGTCTCAAGACGATCCCGCAGGTGAAGACAGATGTGGAGGTCCTGGGCTGGCGTGGTGACACGTGGTCTGCCGTTGAGGCCGGTTGGATGTACTGCTAAATTCTCTAAAAACGACGTTGGAGGCGGCTTATGGTAGAGAAATAAACATTACATTCTCTGGCAACAGCTCTGGGGGACATTCCTGCAGTCAGCATGCCAATTGCACGCTCCCTCAACTTCAGACATATGTGGCATTGTGTTGTGTGACAAAACTTCACATTTTAGAGTGGCCTTTTATTGTCCCCAGCATAAGGTGCACCTGTGTAATGATCATGCAGTTTAATCTCCTTGATATGCCACACCTGTCAGGTGGATGGATTATCTTGGCAAAGGAGAAATGCTCACTAACAAGGATGTAAACAAATTTGTGCACAACATTTGCGAGAAATAAGCACTTGGAACAATTCTGGGATCTTTTATTTCAGCTCATGAAACTAACACTTTACATGTTGTGTTTATAATGTTTTGTTCAGTATGTATATACAGTGGGGAGAACAAGTATTTGATACACTGCCGATTTTCCTACTTACAAAGCATGTAAGATAGAGGTCTGTAATTTTTATCATAGGTACACTTCAACTGTGAGAGACGGAATCTAAAACAAAAATCCAGAAAATCACATTGTATGATTTTTAAGTAATGCATTTGCATTTTATTGCATGACATAAGTATTTGATACATCAGAAAAGCAGAACTTAATATTTGATACAGAAACCTTTGTTTGCAATTACAGAGATCATACGTTTCCTGTAGGTCTTGACCAGGTTTGCACACACTGCAGCAGGGATTTTGGCCCACTCCTCCATACAGACCTTCTCCAGATCCTTCAGGTTTCGGGGCTGTCGCTGGGCAATACGGACTTTCAGCTCCGTATTGGCCCCATCCATCCTCCCCTCAATACGGTGCAGTCGTCCTGTCCCCTTTGCAGAAAAGCATCCCCGAAGAATGATGTTTCCACCTCCATGCTTCACGGTTGGGATGGTGTTCTTGGGGTTGTACTCATCCTTCTTCCTCCAAACACGGCGAGTGGAGTTTAGACCAAAAAGCTCTATTTTTGTCTCATCAGACCACATGACCTTCTCCCATTCCTCCTCTGGATCATCCAGATGGTCATTGGCAAACTTCAGATGGGCCTGGACATGCGCTGGCTTGAGCAGGGGGACCTTGCGTGCGCTGCAGGATTTTAATCCATGACGGCGTAGTGTGTTACTAATGGTTTTCTTTGAGAATGTGGTCCCAGCTCTCTTCAGGTCATTGACCAGGTCCTGCCGTGTAGTTCTGGGCTGATCCCTCACCTTCACCTTCCTCATGATCATTGAAGCCCCACGAGGTGAGATCTTGCATGGAGCCCCAGACCGAGGGTGATTGACCGTCATCTTGAACTTCTTCCATTTTCTAATAAATTGCGCCAACAGTTGTTGCCTTCTCACCAAGCTGCTTGCCTATTGTCCTGTAGCCCATCCCAGCCTTGTGCAGGTCTACAATTTTATCCCTGATGTTCTTACACAGCTCTCTGGTCTTGGCCATTGTGGAGAGGTTGGAGTCTGTTTGATTGAGTGTGTGGACAGGTGTCTTTTATACAGGTAACGAGTTCAAACAGGTGCAGTTAATACATGTAATGAGTGGAGAACAGGAGGGCTTCTTAAAGAAAAACTAACAGGTCTGTGAGAGCCGGAATTCTTACTGGTTGGTAGGTGATCAAATACTTATGTCATGCAATAAAATGCAAATTAATTCCTTAAAAATCATACAATGTGATTTTCTGGATTTTTTCCCCAGCTGTTTTTATTGACACAAGACAGTTCAATAGAAACACACCGTAGCAGGCAATTGACACATCTATTTTCTATGCACACTTTCTTAATGTCGACAGAAAAATAATAGACGTAGCTAGTGTCTATTAACCTGAAGAAAAAAGACATGTCCTTACCTTGTGAATAAAGCTCTCCACCTTGTTCTGCAGGCCCCACCACTTGAACTTGACAGTGACCAGTTTGTAGGCACACATCCTCGGGCAGTCAGCCTTACTAACCAGCTCCTTCTGTTAGTAGCAACACAACAGGAGAACAGACACACTAGATCATTTATGTTGACAAGATATTACAAAACAGTGAATATGTAAATAAGCAAAGTTTATGCAAACTTTCCAATAATGGAACTCTCAAAAGAGAAGAAAGCAGAGTGTGATTTGAGAACACAAACAAATTGGTTTGGACAAATCTCTGCTGTACTCCAACCCCTAAAATGCCATTAATACATAATGCTTTGGAAATGAAGCTTAGTAAAATAATTATCAATATGAGAATATGCAGTAGACGGATAAAAGTCTTCTAATCTACAAAACAGTTTTAAATCTATCTGCAGCTTGCACTCTGTCTCCCTGAGAGGAAGAGGATAGAGAGGAGGGAGAGAGAGTAAAGTGGGAGAGGAGGGAGAGAGAGTAAAGTGGGAGAGGAGGGAGAGAGAGTAAAGTGGGAGAGGAGGGAGAGAGAGTAAAGTGGATAAATAAGAGCGTCTGCTAAATGACTTAAATGTAAATGTAATAAACTCCAGATGAAGGGACCATTTCTCTCGCTCCACCCTGACAGCGACACCGTTCCAGACAGGCATGCCTTTGTGGCCGGGGAAGGCAGATAAAACGGTGTTCGCATCACGCAGCGATAACGGCATCTCAGCGCAAAGCCGGTTCCATTATTAACACCCAGGACCTGCTCGCCCCCAGAACACACACACTCCCAGAACACCGGTTTAATTAATCACTTCATTCTAGCGCTGCACACAGGGAGAAATGCCACAGACCTGCCACAATCACACCCATCCCACCACTGTTTGATGCTCCCATCACGGAGGAGAGAGCGAGGGGGAGGGTGGGAATGAAAAACATTCTAAATTTGCGTAGGGTTTAGCTAGAAAAGTTGTCACCGCTAAAGGAAAACTTCACATAAAACGGAACCCACATCAAAACATTTACGGTGACATTTCCTCTCTCCCGTCGCCCTGCTCAAAGGACCAGGAGTTTTCAGAAATACAAAGTGTGCCAATACGGAAGCATGTGTGCATGCAGATAGAAGAGTTTTACTGCTCTGAGAAGCTGGCACAAATTGTGTTCTCTTTTGTAACTTTAATTATGATTTCTCTCTCATTTTTTCCTCTCCAAAAAGTTTGTTTCCATGTCCAAGGTGGGGGGGGAAGAGATCTAATTAAAAACACAAAATAAAAAGTTGCTTCAGACTTTATAAAGCTGTTCAGCAGTCTTTAATCTGTGCAAGTTGTCACAGAGCAGGAAAACTATTCCACATTGAACTATACTGAACAAAAATATAAATGCAACATCCAACAATTTCAACGATTTTACTGAGTTACAGTTCATATAAGGAAATCAGTCAATTGAAATAAATTAGGCCCTAATCTATGGATTTCACATTTACATTTTAGTCATTTAGCAGACGCTCTTATCCAGAGCGACTTACAGTTAGTGAATGCATACATTTTTATTTTTCATACTGGCCCCCCGTGGGAATCGAACCCACAACCCTGGCGTTGCAAACGCCATGCTCTACCAACTGAGCTACATCCCTGCCGGCCATTCCCTCCCCTACCCTGGACCAATTGTGCGCCGCCCCATGGGTCTCCCAGTCGCGGCCGGCTACAACAGAGCCTGGATTCGAACCAGGATCTCTAGTGGCACAGGTAGCACTGCGATGCAGTGCCTTAGACCACTGCGTCTGATCAGGGGCTCAGCCATAGGTGGGCCTGGGAGGGCATAGGCCCATTCACTTGGGAGCCAATCCCACCCACTGGGGAGCCAGGCCCAGCCAATCAGAATGAGTTTTTCCCCCCACAAAAGGCCTTTAACACAGACAGAAATAGTCCTCAGTTTCATCAGCTGTCCAGTCTCAGATGATCCTGCAGGTGAAGAATCCAGATGTGGAGGTCCTGGGCTGGTGTGGTTACAAGTGGTCTGCTGTTATGAGGCTGGTTGGACGTACTGCCAAATTCTCTAAAACGACGTTGGAGGCGGCTTATGGTAGAGAAATAAACATTCAATTATCTGGCAACAGCTTTGGTGGACATTCCTGCAGTCTGCATGCCAATTGCACACTCCCTCAAAACTTGAGACATTTGCAGCATTGTGTTGTGACAAAACTGCACATTTTAGAGTGGCCTTTTATTGTCCCCAGCACAAGGTGCATCTGTGTAATGATCATGCTGTTTAATCAGCCACACCTGTCAGGTGGATGGATTATCTTGGCAAATTAGAAATGCTCACTACAAGGGATGTAAACAAATTTGTGCTCAAAATTTGAGAAATAAGCTTTTTATGTGTATGGAACATTTCTGGGATCTTTTATTTCAGCTCATGAAACATGGAACCAACACTTTACATGTTGCGTTTATATTTGTGTTAAGTATATGAGGGCTGTAAACTATTGCTGGGTGGAGATCTAACTAGTTTGACATCATGGGCCTGTTTGCAGGGTTGTAGATGAGGGGTTAGAGGGGAAAACGGTGTCTCTGGATGAGTTGTTTTCATCACCTCTCACTTTTTACAAACAAATATCCTCCAGACTCATAAAAAAAATAAAAAAAAAAAAAACTGTTCCTAGCTCAAACTAAGAGACAACACACATAGTACATCCCGGAGCAGACAGCCGTGTACAAACACACACTCTCCTGGCTGGCTGAGAGCAAGGCTGAGACAGGAGGGGCTAATCTGACCTGATCACTTGCAATTTCTATTACACCCAATTTGAGCAGGGAGAGGTGATTTGTCTTCATCAAACTGCAGTCTCCCTCCCGGGTGTTCTAGTGAGAGGCATACCTTCCAGTTGGGTCCCAGGGGTCCTCTACCAGTCTTAGCGGACTTGAACAGAGCAGGGTCCTCGTCTGCCTTGTAGTCCTAGAGAGGGAAGAGAAGGATAACAATTAACACTTTAATAATCAAAACACTGAACAACAAATAATTCCAACAGAAAAGTCTGATTAAATAATTAGATTATTTGTTGGTCGTATGGATTGCGGAAGGCTTATATATTTAGCCTTAACTTCACAAGCCCTGAATTCATTAGATTATTGCCAACTGATTAAACCCATTCACTACCACAGTCAAACAGAGTTCTAACTAACTCACTAGTGCAGCTGGAGAGTAGACCCACACACTCTAGTAGCATAATACACAAGCAGTACACACACGATAAGGCTTTGCTGTAGCGTTGTTTCCGAGTGCCCTAGAGAAAAGGCGAGTGCAGATTCGATTGTATCATGGCTGCACCATTACCAAACAGTTTGCTTCTAGCCAGGTCAAAAGATCTAACCCATATTACCGGCGCAACATTTTCATCTTCCTATAGCAGATCGCCAGGAATGCATTCATTTTACATTCATAAACCATGTTGTGGGCCTTTCTAAAAATACTTGTGCGTCGTTAACCATTTGTTTACACTTTGTTCAGTCATGTTACCTCATTGGCTAGCTAGCTAACAAGCTGGTAACTTTGCCAATATATCCAAACATTTGGGGGGACAGAAAGAAAAGAAAAAGGGGCTAAATGAGATAAATGACCTCAGCAATGAATGAATGATCTCTTGCATGTCACATTTTTAAAGAGACAGTGTACAATTTTCAATATAATGCATCTTAATAGGAAAAGTGTTTTTACACCATGTAGAAACCTAATATTCCACAAATGACTTTGTAATTTCAATGACAGGTATTCGTATCAACATTTTAGCTTTTATAATAAATTAATGTCTTTACAGTGTTACATTAGTTTCTAATGCACAACATGTGCTTCAAAAGTAGCTAGAATTCATATAGGCTGCATCTCAAATCAGTGCTTGACTTGGGCCGGAGTGCCGTGTCGGCACCTCCAATTTTTGGGGAACTGCGTACCGGCTCCTCTACAAAACAAAGTGGCCCATCAACGGCCCGGATTCGCACACACTGTCAAAAAAAGGTTGATCAAAGCAGAATGAAGGCAGGATCTGCATTGAATAGCAATGGAGAGTGGGCATTCATATCTGCAAATCCGGTGTATGTGTGCCAGTAGACAATTAGAGTTTGGGAATGCGCCAGCCTGAATGTGCAGAATGAGCTGTTCCAAATTGTCAAATGAGGGCTCTTACGGTCATGAAAATACTGGAAAAGTCATGGAATTTTTATAGCGTTTTCCTTTTTAAATATATAAAATCACATAAAAACCTACATATCAGCGATGATCAGAATTAGGCCTACCCTTCAGCGCATCTCTCTGTATGTGCTGTGCATCATCTGTGTGTGTGCCAGTGTGAGTGGGCCGTTGCCCGAGGGGAGAGAGAGAGAGACATTTCAGCAGCAGGTAGCCTATAAAATAATGATTGACTAACTATATAGCCAATTCAAAACATAACTAGCCACACTACAAGCTCTCTCGCTAGTTAATTATAAGCATTATGTCGTTCCACCGGCACTGTTGAGAAAGACATCTGACACCATTATTGGAAAGCTGGTATTCCCCTCTTATTAAACAGTAGGCTAGCCATGTAACTCTGACAACGTTCAAAATATTCTAAGAATAGCCTAATTGACAAATAACTTCCATGCTGTGCATAGATCTCCCCTGAAACATTAATATTCTAGCCTTATAAAGGTTATAGATAAACATGTCTTAGTTAGCTACGTTGCTTTGAAGTAGCCTACCTTATCCATTTCATCCCTGATTAATTTAATTGAGGGAAAAACTGTATTAAGACAAAAAGTATTTGGTTGTGTTGCAATATTTTATATTAAAGGGTGGCCAACCATCCTCCAGGAGAACTACTGGGTGTGCAGGCTTTTGTTCAAGCCTTGCTCTAACACAGCACATTGTAGCCTAAACATCAGCTGCTCACACAGGACCCTGATAAGCAGACACTGGTGTGTTTCAAGGCTTGATCAAAAGCCTGCACACCCAGTAGCTCTCCAAATGGAGGGTTGACCACGTGTTTTATACAGTAGCCCAACAGTGCATTTATTCTACGTTGTGGGAGGTTAAGTGCCTTGATCGAGGGCATAACAGCAGGAGATGGTAGGCCTACATGGGATCAGAGACCGGCAGCCTTCTAGTGTCAATACCCAGGGATGCCAACTAGTCAGCTTTCAGCCAAATCCCCTGTTTTGAATCCAAAATAGGTAACCTACGTGATTTGTGTAGATCCGATGAGAAAAGTGTTTTTTCGGGGGGGGCGTTTGGATCACTACTGGCTGTAAGCGAACGAGTGATGCGCGTTCGGAGCAATACTGGCTGTATCCAAGGCTCGAGCCTGGGATCAGCCAGTCCTTCACATAACATAATGCAGCACACGACTGAAGAGAGAAGAGACAACCAACTTGCTAGTTACAGCATCAGAGCGCGCTCTGGAAAGACAGTTTGCCAGTTACAGCAGCAGTTACAGCAGCAGCGCGTCCCCTGAACGACAATGAAGAGGTAGGTGAGAAGCCTGGAGATGGAGGTGAGAAGGTGATGAAGCGTACTTGCATTTGGAAAGTTTGAGGTGAGGGAGCAAGTGTGGTGGAACAAGAATTGTTAAAAGAGTTAAAGTATCTAGCTACAATAGCTGGGTTGAATTCTCCGTTAGCTAGCCAGCAAAATGTCGAGCAACATTAGCTAACTTAACTGATCAAATAATTGAATTGATGGTGTGAAAATGAGCTGGCTAACAAAGTCAGACAGCCAGATAGCTAACATTACAACATCAGATTGGATTGCTTTCCATTTATTGTTTTTGCTATGAGTTAGGTTCACATTAACCACTTTATTTTACACACAGAGACTGATCATGTAGATCATATTCTTTGTTGTTTAATTAGTACACAGTTAAAACATTTCAAGAAGGGATCCAGCCTAAAAGTCACTAGAAATTAGCATTTTAAATCCCTCTAGCAGTTTCCTTTAAGAAAAAAAAAAAAGTGGTCACCTTTTTGGGCCCTTACCAGTTTGCATCCCTGCAATACCACATTTATGCACACTATTTCCACGTAGGCTACATAAACACCACCAATTATTAGTCATGGAAATCTGGTTAAAAGTCATGGAAAAGTCATGAAATTCCATCTGTCAAAATGTGTATAAACACTTAACAGTGAATAATCAGAGGTCTTTACAGCATAATGTCAATTGGGAATTCCTGTGAACATAGTCTAATGGACCGACTTGGAAAAAGACAGCTCCTGCACCTCTCATCCCAAATTAAGCACTGTGCAAAAATACAAATAAATCTTATTTTCTGGTGTTTCTAAATTTCATGTGGTGCTCCTAACCTTTTAAAGTTGGGAGCCCTGCACACACAGACTTAATGGTCTCACTCTCCTCTTCTGGTTGCATTAGTCATTGTAAAGAGCTCAGAGAGAGAAGTGCAAAGTCAACTAGGGCTGGGCAATATGGCCTAAAAATCAGTCCTAGATTTTTTTTTAACTTATGGGCGATATATACTGCATCTCGATTTTAATGTTCTCTAAATAAGCATTGTTGTAGAATTAAAGGTCAAATACACTGCATTCCAAACAGTCAGCAATAATCAAATGAATTCAGGGCTTGTGAAGTTATACCTAGGCTAAATAGAGGCCTTCCACAACCATAAAATCATTAAATGATGAATGGGTCTTATTAAAATAGTTTAATCTGCCTTTTTTTTGCAATAACCACTGATCTGGCTTTCAAGTCTATGAAAATGCCCTTTTTTGTTACAAATTTCACTAGAACCATCCATAATGCACATTCTCTAACATGACTAACTTCTTGTAGCAGGCATTAGGCTATAGAAAATTAACACTGGTCTCATCAACAATCACTCAAGCCCACGTGCTAGTTAATCTTCATATTTCAAGTTTAGCCAACTTGGATCTATTTGCTAGCTAACAATGTAGAACAGTTGAATTTTTATGAACACACCCTTCTGTCGGTCTCCAACTGTTTGAACAGCATGCTAGCCTGTCCACTTTGTTCAGATGTTGAAATCAAGTAGCCTACCTTATTTCTCAGAATGAGAACGAGTTGCCAATTCTTTATATAATTGTGTTTTATGCTTATTGCACATTTACTAGACAGTTAGTATAACCGTCTTTGGCTAAAATGTTGCTAGCGGTATGTAGTACCCCAACGCCGCACGCGACAAACTGAGCATTCATTTTCCAGAATCAATGTTCATCGATACTCTAGTTTTAGTAGCGTTTGCTCTGCGCGCAATTTGAGTAGTAAAGACATAAAAAGGGTATCGTTAGAAATGTTTACTTCTCCTCTATTACAGTAAAATAATGTCTCAATGTGTTTTGGTGTCCATATGACCGATTCTGTTGGACCAAACCTCAAATGCAAATAGCGAGTTGAAACCGCTTGTCAGAGAGGAAGAAGTGATCTCTCAACTTTGTTGGCGTACGAGGCAGGCAGAGGGGCTTGGTGCATGTGTAAACCAAAGAGGAAGAGACGAAGCGAGAGGTTTCACTCTCGCTAAAATCTGTCAAAAATAAGCCTTATGCGTTTCTATGGGCTTATTTTGGACCTAAGCTTGTCGCCTGCCTTCCCGCCTTTAGGACAACGACTCCCATTGTTAGGGCGGAGACGTGCATCTCCTCATTATATACAGATCTCTGGTGTAAATGGGAAGTTGCACAGCACAGAAAGAGCGAACGAGACCAAAAAGACAACAACGAGAACAAGCGGACATAAATGCTAAAAAAAAAATCACAAAAAATAACAAAACCTTGATTCTTGCAATACAGGATTTGGAATATCGTGCAAAAACAGAAATTAGAATTAATTCGATATATTGCCCAGCCCTTAAGTCAACTTAAAACAACTATTGTAAAAAATAAAATAAAAAAATGAAACGCCTTTCAAATTACAAACAGCTCAAGGGCCAAGCAATTTTAAATAAATCATGATGCGCCTGCAGCTAAAAGCTGCTGTTCAGGGCTATCGGCCGTCAGGAGGGAGCCAAACAAGCAGAATGGGAGAAACACACACACTCATTTGGCTGTTTTAATGCTGAAAGCTCCATCACTATAACAATACACTGTGCTGCTCTAATGAGGTCTGTGAATGGATGTGCCTGGGCTGAGGAAGTGTGTGTGTGTGTGAGAGCCAGGCGTATGGAGCGCTGTGAGCCTTAATTACACTAACAAACTCATCTGTGGTCCCTTGGCAGGCTAGGCCCTGCAGCCTTGCCTGAGGCACAGACCTGATAGGGCCCTCAGACAACACCTCCAGCAAGGCAAACACGTCCGCCTCGTTAGACACCTACCGCAAGCACACACTGCTCAGGCAAATAACCACACACACACACTCCACTTGTCAGACTCAGTGAAATGAGGCAATGCCATGCCAAATAATAGCAATAAACTACCATGAGCATTGGTACAAGGAAGATACTGAGAAATTATACCAATATTAAATTATAATTGCAGAGCTTCCAACACCATACTGATTTGAGGGGTTTCAGAACCTGCAGAGGAAAAACAATGCACCATAGTTCCCTACCTGGCAGCTGACATGGAATACAACATTCTGAATAACAGCTGAAAGGAATGTGTGTATGCAGTTTTTTTGTCACATCTGAATAGACCTAAATTATATTTAGCTTATGTCTAATGGGGTTAGATATTATTATACTAAGTAGGAACATTGCTGTGCAATGCCCAGGTCTCTCCACATGATGGTGCCAAACAGGGTACTATCCACAGCTTTATTGAGTGTGGGACTGTGGCATGACAGCAGTATCAGAAAGGAGTACTCACAGCAGGGGCAACTTGTTCTCCATCTGCGATGTCAATGGGCACCACCTCCACACTCTTCCATGTGGGCACGTCCAGCTTGTGCACCTGCCAATCAAAGCCAGGCATGAGCATGATAGCAACACTTCAAACTCAGATATTAGCTGATGCTTCATCTGGGACACATTCACAGACAGTCAGTGACATTTACAGTAAGATTTTTTATAAAAGAGAAAATTGTGATTAATCTAACTCATTTTGAATGACAGATAAAGGTACTCACGTTTTCTACTGTGCCAAGGTCAGGTTTGTGCCAGGTCTCAATCTTAACGATGAAGTCATCTTTCATATACTCATTCTGAAGGAAGGAGGTTGAAAATCATGACTGAAGCTGAAGGCATAAACCCTCTAAACAAGAGATATTAAAATCTTACCCTACGAGGTCCGGAGCCTACTGGTTCTGTTTTACCTGATAATGAATTGCACTCACCTGGTGTCCCAGGTCTAAATCAGTCCCTGATTAGAGGGGAACAATGAAAAAAAGCAGTGGAACTGGCTTTGGGGTTTTTGAGTTTGAGGGCTCGAAACCTAGTAGATTTACATTACTAGTAATGGCCACAAGGGGGACCTCCTACCCCTGAATTCAACAACTACCCAGTGAAGCAATATCATGGTAAATTCAAACCATACAATGTCCCCTTCAATAAATGAAAACCTCAAACATTGTTGGCTTATTTGCTACATTCTTTATAATTGTTGACAAGTTCGCTTCACGAAAACTGATGCATGCCACATTCACACAGACAAACAAGTAACTACCCAACTACATACACATGCACAAACAATTACCATCCAAACAGACAGTGAGATAATCCAACGCAACAGGGTCATTTGAGGCTACTCACCGTTACAACTGGGTCCAGACGAAGCATGAGAGAAGACCAAAAAACAAAATGTTAGATATAAATTAAAAAATTAATGATCATACAACTCATGTAAATAATACATTGGTTCCAGCAACAATGAGTCAATTTAAAACAACATTTCTATAAAAACAGCTTGGGGGTCACATAGTGCATGTGGTACAGGTGGGGGGAGAAGGGGTAAGAGTCCAGGCAGGAGAGGAGGGGAGGGGACTCACTGGTTCGGCAGTAAGGGTAAGCATTCCAGGCCTTTTCATGGAAAACCAGGGAGCCCTCAGGAGCAATCATCTTGACAAACGCTGGGACTTTACTGTGGAAGTCAGGGAAAGAGGGGGGGGATAGATGGATACACACACTGTCACTGACTGAAGTCGGAAGTTTACATACACTTAATACCCGTTTTTCAACCACTCCACAAATTTCTTGTTAACAAACTATAGTTTTGGTAAGTCGGTTAGGACATCTACTTTGTGCATGACACAAGTAATTTTTCCAACAATTGATTACAGACAGATTATTTCACTGTATCACAATTCCAGTGGGTCAGAAGTTCACATACACTAAGTTGACTGTGTCTTTAAACAGCTTGGAAAATTCCAGAAAATGATGTCATGGCTTTAGAAGCGTCTGATAGGCTAATTGACATCATTTGAGTCAATTCGAGGTGTACCTGTGGATGTATTTCAAGGCCTACCTTCAAACACAGTGCCTCTTTGCTTGACATCATGGGAAAATCAAAAGAAATCAGCCAAGACCTCAGAAAAAAAATGTGTAGACCTCCACAAGTCTGGTTTATCCTTGGGAGCAATTTCCAAACGCCTGAAGGTACCACGTTCATCTGTACAAACAATAGGACGCAAGTATAAACACCATGGGACCACGCAGCCGTCATACCGCTCAGGAAGGAGACGTGTTCTGTCTCCTAGAGATGAACGTACTTTGGTGCGAAAAGTGCAAATCAATCCCAGAACAGCAAAGGACCTTGTGAAGATGCTGGAGGAAACGGGTACAAAAGTATCTATATCCACAGTAAAACAAGTCCTATAATCGTCATAACCTGAAAGGCCGCTCAGCAAGGAAGAAGCCACTGCTCCAAAACCGCCATAAAAAAGCCAGACTACGGTTTGCAACTGCACATGGGGACAAAGATTGTACTTTTTGGCCATAATGACCATTGTTATGTTTGGAGGAAAAAAGGGGTAACTTGCAAGCCGAAGAACACCATCCCAACCGTGAAGCACGGGGGTGGCAGCATCATGCTGTGGGGGTGCTTTGCGGCAGGAGGGACTGGTGCACTTCACAAAATAGATGGCATCATGAGGAAGGAAAATTATGTGGATATATTGAAGCAACATCTCAAGACATCAGTCAGGAAGTTAAAGCTTGGTCGCAAATGGGTCTTCCAAATGGACAATGACCCCAAGCATACTTCCAAAGTTGTGGCAAAATGGCTTAAGGACAACAAAGTCAAGATATTGGCGTAGCCATCACAAAGCCCTGACCTCAATCCTATATAAAATGTGTGGGCAGAACTGAATAAGCGTGTGCGAGCAAGGAGGCCTACAAACCTGACTCAGTTAAACCAGCTCTGTCAGGAGGAATGGGCCAAAATTCACCCAACTTATTGTGGGAAGCTTGTGGAAGGCTTCCCGAAACGTTTGACCCAAGTTAAACAATTTAAAGGCAATGCTACCAAATACTAATTGAGTGTATGTAAACTTCTGACCCACTGGGAATGTGATGAAAGAAATAAAAGCTGAAATAAATCATTCTCTACTATTATTCTGACATTTCACATTCTTAAAATAAAGTGGTGATCCTAACTGAACTAAGACATGGAATTTTTACTAGGATTACATTTCAGGAATTGTGAAAAACTGAGTTTAAATGTATTTGGCTAAAGTGTATGTAAACTTCAGACTTCAACTGTATACACATACAATTTTTTGTATTTTAGCCCCTTTTTCTCCCCAATTTCGATCGTGTCATTGCTGCAACTCCCCAACGGGCTCTGGAGGCGAAGATCGAGTCATGCATCCTCCGAAACAGGACAGGCCAAACTGCACTTCTTAACACCCGCCTGCTTAACCCGGAAGCCAGCCGCACCAATGTGTCGGAGGAAACACTGTTCACCTGACGACCGAGGTCAGCCTGCAATTGCTAGAGCGCGATGAGGCAAGTAAAGCACCCCCGGCCAAACCCTCCCCTAACACAGACGTTGCTGGGCCAATTGTGCGCTGCCCTATGGGACTCCCGATCACGGCCGGTTGTGATACAGCCCGGGATCGAACCTGGATCTGTAGTGACGCATCTAGCAACGTGATGCAGTGCCTTAGACCGCTGCCCCACTCAGGAGGCCCCTAGAATGGGATATATGTGAATGTCATTGTCTTGAAGGCCTCTATAAAAAAGGTACTATAAACCTATTGTAACATAGGAATGACTACACTTCCACCTGCTGGCAAGATAGGGATGGTGCACTAGGAACATTGTGTGTTACCTCTTCAGATGGTAGATTTTATGTGTGTACTGTCCTTTCTCCCCCTCCTTCTCATAGGGTTCATTCTTAAGGACCTCGATGCCCTCTCCTCCACCAGTCTCATTCTTACTGGCCTCTGCTACGGAGTACAACTGGCCCACTTGATACTGAAACAAACACACACTGTTAACACAACATAATAATAATGTATGCACTCACTAACTGTAAGTCGCTCTGGATAAGAGCGTCTGCTAAATGACAAAAAAAAAAACATTACATAATACAACAAATACTTGCTCTCATGAAGGTAATAAAAACATGGATAGCAAATAAGAACACAGGGAATCAACATATTTGTTATGGACTATCATATGACAGAGTTGTATGTTGAACAAGAGCTTGACTACCAGGATGGCAGTGTCCAGCATCATCCAGAACCAGGAGGGTATGCTGCAGAGCTGGGCCCAATATGGACAAAAATCCATACCACTGTTTTTTATGATCCTTTAAAACTACTAGTTTGATGGTTATAGCCATCACTTTTCCCATTAACAATCACCTATATTAGCGAACTTGTTTCATTTCAAACTACACATTTCTCCAGTATAGGCTACTTATTGTAATGAATGTAATCAGCAAAATGCCTGCGACAAGTGATCGGTGTCGATCATTTTTGTTTTTTTCCCCTAACTCTAGCATGCACGGTTATCAAAGTAGAGAGATATGCTACTAGCCTCCCCACAATAGACCTACAGAGAGCCACTCTTTACTAATTGATTCTAATAGGATTAGGGGGCAGTGAAAACAGCCACAGTGGGGGCCTACAGCACTGGAGGGTCCACATGGCTGACTATGCTACTGTTTGTGTGTTTGTGTACAAAGAGACTACTAAGTTAGACTGCATTTGTCATCTACAGGGACTATAAAAACATGCATGCAACCAATGTACGTTGATGCAACATGAATATTGTACAATCAATAACTTTGTATTATTCTATGCATTGTCTCTTTGCCACAACGAGCAAGAGGAGTAGGCCAAACAGGCTAATTGTCCAGAGAACAGAGCCCTGATCAAACAAGAGTTCTACTGTCCGTGTCATTAATCTGTTCTGGGCCCTGTAGAGGACAAAACTTTGTTTCCTTTCACATCCAAAGGCAATCTCTTACATGCACGAGCACAGCCAGTCAGATGCACACACACAGAACATGACCCAACAGAGCCCCAGGTTAAACGATGCATACAAATTGTCCTGAATTAGACAAAGGAATTTAAACAAGCACACAGTTTTTCAACTACTGTCGATCACTTTTCATAAACGTTTGTGCAATTAATGCAACAAATCATTGATGGTAATGCTGCAGGGATGTTTGTGCTGTTCTTGTACTGTGGATACTAAGCCTGGATCAGATCAACTCTCCACTATGCCAAGTCAGGCCTATTATTGAACTGAGCAGTACACTGAGGTTATAGTTTGATTTAGGCCTGTCCGAGCAGGAAGGATTGCTTTTGCTTTGATTAGACATATTTCTCATCTACCTGTATTGTGGTGGACCAGCCCAACCCTGGATCCCACACTTTCATCAGCATCACAGGACACGCTATCAAGTGAACCACACACTGGTGGACCAAGAACCAGCTCATCACTCCAGGGGCAACCGTTGCCTACTAGACTTCTGAAGGCCAGTGTAGCGTAGTGTTTTTCCATTCACTACTGGTCTTCCATTAAGTTTCTGGCTTTAGAGGAAAAAAACATTTTCCTGCTATAATCTGGGCCTCTGTGCACACACACTTCATTGCCATATAAGGACACAGTGTGTGTGAGTCAGAGTTTTGTAACAGTAACCCATACAAAAATAATAACTTAATACAAAGGAATCAAAATAATGACTAACACTGTACACTACACAAATCCAGAGAGAGAGGAGAGAACAGCACAGCCTTATGTAACTCTCTCTGTAGTGATGACGATATAAGAGTATGGCAATGGAAAACACAATCCATGGAGTTGTCTCTCATGATGGTGCCTATGGGGCGTGTGTGTTATTCCATGGGTCTGCTAAACACATCAATCCACACAACTGTTACCAACGCAGATATTCTTGAGATATGGCGCCGGAGGAGATGGCCGCCATTTTACGGGGTCCTGACCAATTGCGCTGTTTTAAACTTTTTTTGTACATGTTTCGCCATCGTTTCTTATGACCGAAAAGAGCTTCTGGACATCAGAACAGCGATTACTCATCTCGAACGGGACAATGATTGAAATTTTTTTTTTTAATGAGTCGGACGCGAAGGATATACTGCTTCTCCCGGACCAGGCCCAAATCCCCGTCATTCGTATGAAGAGGAGATGCCGTTGCAGAGGTCGGAGAGCCGGATGCCTGGCGAGACTGCATCAGCGAGTGGATGAGCCGGTTTTACCCTCCGTTCTACTGGCGAACGTGCAATCACTGGAGAATAAACTGGATGAGCTCCGTTCAAGACCATCCTATCAACAGGACATTAAAAACTGTAATATCCTATGTTTCACGAGTCGTGGCTGAACAAGGACATGGATAATATACAGTTAGCTGGGTTTTCCGTGCATCAGCTAAGACAGAACAGCAGCCTCCGGTAAGATCGGGGGGAGGGGGGTTGTGTGTGTCTGTCAACAGCTGATGCGCGAGCTCTAATATTAAGTCTCAAGGTTTTGCTCGTCTGAGTATCTCATGATAAGCTGTAGACCACACCATTTACCAAGAGAGTTTATCTATATTCTTCGTAGCTGTCTATTTACCACCACAAACCGATGCTGGCACTAAGACCGCACTCAACAAGCTGTATAAGGCCATAAACAAACAAGAAAATGGTGGGCGGCAGGTAGCTTAGTGGGTAAGAGCGTTGTGCCAGTAACCGAAAGGTCGCTGGTTCTAATCCCCGAGCCGACTAGGTGAAAAATCTGTCGATGTGCCCTTAAGCAAGGCACTTAACCCTAATTGCTGATGTAAGTCGCTCTGGATAAGAGCGTCTGCTAAATGACTTAAATGTAAATGTAAATGTAAATGTCATCCAGAGGCGGCACTCCTAGTGGCCAGGGACTTTAATGCAGGAAAACTGAAATCCGTCTTACCTCATTTCTACCAGCATGTCACATGTGCAACTAGAGAAAAGTAAAAACTCTAGATCACCTTTACTCCACACAGGGACACATACAAAGCAATCCCTTGCCCTCTATTTGGCAAATCTGACCATAACTCTATCCTCCTGAGTCAAGCAAAAACTCAAACAGGAAGTACAAGTGACGCGCTCAATACGGAAGTGGTTTGATGAAGCGGATGCTAAGCTACAAGACTGCTTCGCTAGCACAAACTGGAATATGTTCCAGGATCATCCAATGGCATTGAGGAGTATACCACATCAGTCACCGGCTTCATTAATAAGTGCGTCGACGACAACTTCCCCACAGTGACCGTACGTAAATACCCCAACCAGAAGCCATGGATGTCAGGCAACATCCGCACTGAGATAAAGGCTAGAGCTCCCGCTTTCAAGGAGCATGACACTAATACGGATAATAAATCCCACTATGCCCTCCGACGAATCATCAAACAGGTAAAGCGTTTATACAGGACTAAGATCGAATCCTACTACACCAGCTCTGATGCTCGTCGGATGTGGCAGGGCTTGCAAACCATCACAGATTACAAAGGGAAACCTAGCCGCGAGCCTAACAGACGAGATAAATGTCTTCTTTGCTTGCTTTGAGGCAAGCAACACTGAACCATGCATGAGAGCACCAGCTGTTCCGGACGACTGTGTGATCACACTCTCCGTAGCAGATGTGAGTAAGACCTTTAAACAAGTTAACATTCCCGAGGCCACAGGGCCAGATTACCAGGACGCGTCCTCAGAACATGCGCTGACCAGCAGGCAAGCGTCTTTTGACATTTTCAGCCTCTGCCTAACCCAGTCTGTAATACCTACATGTTTCAAGCAGACCACCATAGTCCCCTGTGCCTAAGAATGCCAAGGTAACCTGCCTAAATGACTACCGCCCCGTAGCACTCACATTTGTAGCAATGAAATGCTTGTCAGGGCTCACGCCATGTCTGGGACCAAAAGGCTCTTCAACAGCTTCTACTTCCAATCCATAAGACTGCTGAACAAGTTCATCAAATGGCTCCCCAGACTATTTGCACTGACCCCCTTATTTTATTCTTATTTTTTGCACTGACTCTCTTGCACAGGCTAAATGTACACTCACTGGACTCGAACCACACACACACTACACTGACATGCCAACACATGCATATTGACGCCACACACACGCTGCTTCTACTCTGTTATCTATGCATAGTCACGTTACTCCTACCTACATGTACATATTACCTCGACTAACCCGTACCCCTGCACATTGACTTGGTACCGGTACCCACTTTATATAGCCTTGTTATTGGTTATTGTGTTACTATTTTTCCATGAGTTTATTTAGCAAATTGTATGACTTTTTTTTTTTTTTTTACTCTGCATTGTTGGTTAAGGGCTCATAAGTAAGCATTTCACAGTAAGATCTACACCTGTTGTATTCGGCGCATGTGACAGCTAAAACTTGATTGTGGGAAAAAAAAAGAAGATAAGGAAAGCAAAGACAGGTCTGAACAGTAGGCTAATTCCATAGAAGGATTAGTTTGACAGAATGCTAAATAATAACAGTGAAACCATAGCGACGTACTCACCTCCTCCACAGTACAGGGTAAGACCACACGGCTGAAAGAGAGAAGAGCAGAGAGATCAAACATGGTTTAATGACTGACACTGGCCATCATAATCACATCTAGACCCAACTCAACAAATAAACAGAATAGTTCCAACAGGCTTACAAGGCACATGTGTTCTCTTGCATAGTGGAATTCAGAATTGGTTGCTGATTTGATAAACAGATTTGACTAGAGGCATCCTTGTTTCCCCCCCCCCCATCACAAGTCAGACACGATACCCTTGCTTTCCAGACTAAACCAATTTGGCCATTGCAGCTATAAATCACTCGCTTTATGCAAGGCCATTGCCTCATGACTTCCTGACTGCAGAAGCCCCCCATCAGCCTGTTTGATGGTGGCAGCAGGGGGCTCAGCTTCATGATGAGAGATTATCATAGGGCACATGAGTGACTTCCTCAGTGCACAGGAAAAGGAAATGGTCCAGGTCACACAGAGTCACATTATGGAAGAGGCCAGAGAGAGAAAAAGAAGGCTGGGGGATAAGACAATTAATGAGAGCCAAAGAGGGAGAGCCTGCGAGGATAGAAAAGGGCTGAACAGAACAGTGAAGGCAAGAGACCAGTGGGGACTGACCAGTGTCACCAAAGTGACCAATGTGGGGACCAAAGGAACAAAAATGGGAACCAGAGACTGCCCAACAGCTAGTGGAGCCACTGAGGATCTGGTGTGCCCACACAAACATGACATCATAGCAGCGGTGCTCCATCCAATGACCACTAATGCGGTGTTCATAACAAGTGGGAAACGCTTAAAAAGTTACTTGTAAACTGGGAGCAACGAGTTCACGTGCTTTGAACTCGTTGACAACGCTGATTGGCTAATGGCAAGCAAAGCTACGTCAACCATAAACTAAAAGTACAGTCATCCTGCTCGCAAACAAATAATATTTTGTTGTTGCATTTAACTGCAGAAAATGCTGTTAGAGGTAATTTCCTTAGTATGTGATGTCAGAGTTAAGCATGTGGGAGAACTCAGAGCTCAGATGATAAATGAGTTTCCCCACTTGTAAATTACAAGTTGGAGGGGTGTTAACCTCTACGGGATCGGTGTCCCGTATACGGCACGGTTGAGCTAACGTGCGCTAATGTGATTAGCATGACTGTTGTAAGTAAACGCAAACTTTCCAGGACATACACATGTCTTATATGGGCAGAAAGCTACAATTATTGTTAATCTAACTGCACTGTCCAATTTACAGTAGCTATTACAGTGAAAAAAGACCATGCTATTGTTTGAGGAGAGTGCACAACAAAAAACGTATCACGGCAACTGGTTTGATACATTCACCTCTGAAGGTAAATAATGTACTTACATTCAGTAATCTTGCTCTGATTTGTCATCCTAAGGGTCCCAGAGATAAAATGTAGCATAGTTTTGTTTGATAAATATTCAAATGTAGGAACTGGGTTCTACAGATTCAACCCCTGCTGTCTCTGGCTCCACACCCACCCCGCCTGGCCATCTAGATGTGTGAAAGTTAGTGTGTATAAGCTAATGATCCATCATGTATGACATTCCTGGGAGTGTGTAAACTTACATTTTGTATTATCATATCATTTTTGTACGTTCTCTATGGTTATATACTTGAAAATGTATCAATTGACCAATTCGGCACATTTGGGAAGACTTGATACAAAAATAGTCCAGTATTGCAATGCTTCACTGGATCAATCTGAAACTTTGCACACACTGCTGCCATCTAGTGTCCAAAATCTAAATTGCATTTCAAAGATTAAAAAAATATTAACTTTTACCAGATATAATTTGTTCTATTCTCCTACATTAATTTCACATTTCCACAAACTTCAAAGTGTTTCCTTTCAAATGGTATCAAGAATATGCATAGGTTCTGAGCTACAGGCAGTTAGATTTGGGTATGTAATTTTAAGCGAAAATTTTAAAAAAGGGTCAGATCCTTAAGAGGTTATTGTGGATTTTCCCAGTCGTATGCTGGCATTTACGAATTTATGAGATGTTATGAACACAGCATAAAACCACATAAGGGAATAGCATATTGGGAAGGGAATGCAGAAACCGTTATCCGTAAGCAACTATTATTTCCTCCTCTCTTTTCCACCCACTATAATAAGTCCCACACACTTTAAGGGGATGGGTGGTGCATAAATTGGGGAGGTAGGCCTATTCCATCCACATGTAGGCCTACTGTAATCAGGGAGCCCTTTCTGTTTTCTGTTGATCCATGGTTAATTTTCAACATAAAACCACCAATGAGTTATGATCATTTACCAAACAGGGCTGTGTTACACACTGTATAATGATATAATTTACCGTAGCCTTTAAAGCAGTACTCTAACAATGAAAGCAACCAGTGGCCACATTACAACCGAGACCGTTTAGCCATAGGCCCAGGCAATAGGGATTATTTTCAGTTAGGAAGATGACTGCTGTAATTGTGGCAGTGTTACATCCTAAAACCTGGAAAGCTGACAGATCTTACAAATTGTGTGTGAGGCTGAGCAACAGGATAGCCTGAGACTTCAGGCCGTGTCACACACTAAGCCATGTTGGTAATGGATGGAGACCTAACATGTATTTGATATTTGTGCATCTAACTGTCTCACTCATCATTATTCACGATTCATTCAAGACTATCCATAATCATGGTGCATCCAGATTAATGTAGAAGTGTTTAGAAACATTCTATTTTTATTTACAATAAAAGTGACTCCAAAATGACACACTACATTATTTACCATTCATTTCTATTGGGCACAAAATAATCTGAAACACAACCAAAACATACCTGATGTAATCATTGGGTGCTAGGAATATGGGATCAAATACTAAACTTTTGAATACTTGAATACACATACACTGAGTTTACAAAACATTAAGGACACCTGCTCTTTCCATGTCATAGACTGACCAGGTGAAAGCTATTATCCCTTATTGATGTCACTTGTTAACTCCATTTCAAATCAGTATAAACGAAGGGAGAAGACAGGTTAAAGGAGGATTTTTAAGCCTTGAGACAGATTGTGAATGTGTGCCATTCAGAGGGTTAATAGGCAAGACAAAAGTTTTAAGTGCCTTTGAATGGGGTAGGGTAGTAGGTGCCAGGCGCACCGGTTTGTGTCAAGAACTGCAACGCTGCTGAGTTTTTCATGCTCAACAGTTTCCTGTGTGTATAAAGAATGGTCCACCACCCAAAGGACATCCAGTCAACTTCACACAACTGTGGGAAGCATTGGAGTCAACATTGGCCAGCATCCCTGTGTAACGCTTTCGACACCTTGTAGAGTCCATGCCACCACGAATTTAGGCTGTTCTGAGGGGGGGGGGGGGGGGGGGGCAACTCAATATTAGGAAGGTGTTCTTAATGTTTGGTATACTCAGTCAAAACACAGGGTGTGTCTATATATGGAAAAATACACATTTTAAAAATGTTGACCAATTGATTGGTCGAAAGAAACTAAACCACTGATTACAAAAAAGCCTAGACAAAAGCCTAGATTTATTTTCAAGTCATAGTGATAGCCTAAGCAGCCTAGTACTAGTTTAGTATGCCTTCATAAGAGGCAGGGCATAGCTGCAATGGCAATGGTTAAGTTAAATAATCCTCTTCCTGAATCAGACTGGGTTAGGCCTACTGACTGGGAACCATCAGCACCCCACTTGACAGTGCAGAATGTCTGATGCACTCATCATTTCTCTGACAAGCACATTTTTCCTTGGTCAGCAGTATGGTCAAAGTTCATGAATCACCAGCCTGCCAGGAAGACTTGAGCACTGTCATCAGGTGTCATCTCAAAGTTTACAAAGTTGGCAAGCCTGTCTAAACACACACACCTGGGAATTTGTGTTTAACAAGATTGTAAAGTTTTACAGAGTGGAGTGGACGTTGTGTACTTCCTAGAAAGGGTGCCTCGTCAATGCGGGACACATTTAATGTGGCTACCATCCGTGTGACTTAGGTTTATGGTACGCGTGCACTGCAGTGGAGGATCCTCATAAAAATAGTGAAACATTAAAAAAGTTATACTTTTTAGATAAAAGTATGCTAAATACACTGCTCAAAAAAATTAAGGGAACACTTAAACAACACAATGTAACTCCAAGTCAATCACACTTCTGTGAAATCAAACTGTCCACTTAGGAAGCAACACTGATTGACAATAAATTTCACATGCTGTTGTGCAAATGGAATAGACAACAGGTGGAAATTATAGGCAATTAGCAAGACACCCCCAATAAAGGACTGGTTTTGCATGTGGTGACCACAGACCACTTCTCAGTTCCTATGCTTCCTGGCTGATGTTTTGGTCACTTTTGAATTCTGCCGGTGCTTTCACTCTAGTGGTAGCATGAGACGGAGTCTACAACCCACACAAGTGGCTCAGGTAGTGCAGCTCATCCAGGATGTCACATCAATGCGAGCTGTGGCAAGAAGGTTTGCTGTGTCTGTCAGCGTAGTGTCCAGAGCATGGAGGCGCTACCAGGAGACAAGCCAGTACATCAGGAGACGTGGAGGAGGCCGTAGGAGGGCAACAACCCAGCAGCAGGACTGCTACCTCCGCCTTTGTGCAAGGAGGAGCAGGAGGAGCACTGCAAAATGACCTCCAGCAGGCCACAAATGTGCAGGTGTCTGCTCAAAACGGTCAGAAACAGACTCCATGAGGGTGGTATGAGGGCCCGACGTCCACAGGTGGGGGTTGTGCTTACAGCCCAACACCGTGCAGGACGTTTGGCATTTGCCAGAGAACACCAAGATTGGCAAATTCGCCACTGGCGCCCTGTGCTCTTCACAGATGAAAGCAGGTTCACACTGAGCACGTGACAGAGTCTGGAGACGCCGTTGAGAACATTCTGCTGCCTGCAACATCCTCCAGCATGACCGGTTTGGCGGTGGGTCAGTCATGGTGTGGGGTGGCATTTCTTTGGGGGGCCGCACAGCCCTCCATGTGCTCGCTAGAGGTAGCCTGACTGCCATTAGGTACCGAGATGAGATCCTCAGACCCCTTGTGAGACCATATGCTGGTGCGGTTGGCCCTGGGTTCCTCCTAATGCAAGACCTCATGTGGCTGGAGTGTGTCAGCAGTTCCTGCAAGAGGAAGGCATTGATGCTATGGACTGGCCCGACCATTCCCCAGACCTGAATCCAATTGAGCACATCTGGGACATCATGTCTCGCTCCATCCACCAACGCCACGTTGCACCACAGACTGTCCAGGAGTTGGCGGATGCTTTAGTCCAGGTCTGGGAGGAGATCCCTCAGGAGACCATCCGCCACCTCATCAGGAGCATGCCCAGGCGTTGTAGGGAGGTCACACAGGCACGTGGAGGCCACACACACACTACTGAGCCTCATTTTGACTTGTTTTAAGGACATTACATCAAAGTTGGATCAGCCTGTAGTGTGGTTTTCCACTTTAATTTTGAGGGTGACTCCAAATCCAGACCTCCATGGGTTGATAAATTTGATTTCCATTGATAATTTGTGTGTGCTTTTGTTGTCAGCACACTCAACTATGTAAAGAAAAGTATTTAATAAGATTATTTCATTCATTCAGATCTAGGATGTTATTTTAGTGTTCCCTTTATTTTTTTGAGCAGTGTATATTCACAGGTCACCAAATAACTGAATTAAAGAAACTGTTTTGCAATGAAGGTCTACAGTAGCCTCAACAGCACTCTCTGGGGTAGCACCATGTGTAGCTGGAGGACTGCTGCTTTCCATCCTCCTCTGTGTACATTGACTTCAATACAAAACCTAGGAGGTTCATGGTTCTCACCCCCTTTCACAGACTTACACAGTAAGTATGAAAAAAATAAAAATAAAATGTATGCACTCACTAACTGTAAGTCGCTCTGGATAAGAGCGTCTGCTAAATGACTAAAATGTCAAATGTAAATGTAATTCTGACGACTTCCAGAGGACGTCCTCCAACCTATCAGAGCTCTTGCAGCATGAACTGACATGTTGTCCACCCAATCAAAGGATCAGAGAATGAATCTAGTACTGAAAGCATAAGCTACAGCTAGCTAGCACTGCATAAAATGTGGTGACTGGTTGACTGAAAGAGAGAGAGAAAGAAAGACTGTAGTCGAACAGTTTTGAAAAAATACATTTCTTAAATTAAGAAGAAGCAGCAGAGAGAAAGAAGCAGCAGAGAGAGAGAGCTATATATATATATATATATATACACACACACATATAAAAAATGTGTTTTTTTCTTTCACTTAGCTAGCTAATGTGGCTAGCTAATTTAGCCTACTCAAAACACCCAGCTCAAACAGAGAGGAATGCTATGTATGTTAGCTAGCTGGCTAAGGCTATCCAACACTGGAATTCCTCCAAGTCAAGGTAAGCTTTCGGTTTTATTAATTTATTGCCACTGGGCCCGCCAGTGTACCTGCTAAACTTCTTGCTGTACACCACATGAGTCAAACTCATTCCACGGAGGGCCGAGAGTCTGCAGGTTTTTGCTCCTCCCTTGTACTTGATTGATGAAATAAGGTCACTAATTAGTAAGGAACTCTCCTCACCTGGTTGTCTGTCTTAATTGAAAGCAAAAACACATAGGACACTAGGCCCTCCAAAGAATGAGTTTGACACTTCCTGCATGATAGTAGCGGGTTTACTAATGCGTTAGTTCTAGTAGCTATGTTGACTATGATGTTAGTTAATATGGTGACAACGATGTAGGCTGTGTGTAGCAGTTAGTGGTTATAGTATGAAGGTTTGGCTTGGAATGGTTTTTTTCGCCTGTTCACAGACAGCTGTTGTGTTGTGCACTGAAGTCCACAATCGAGGCGAAAAGGTGAGAGGAGAGCACAGACACAAGAAGGAATTATACAACGTGCAAAGGGATGATGCGGTTTGTATGTGGCTGCTATGAAAGTTAACTGTGTGCGGGTGATCAGGGGAGTGTTCATTCCGCTGATTCTGTTAACTTTTATTAAACTGAAGCAAACGGAACAGGGATAAACTTACCTGAATTTGTCCAATAGCAACTGTTTGGACTAATAATTACACCCTAGATCAGCTAGATGCATGTAAGCGTGTACAAGGCGTTATTCAATGTGTTACTGTCCTTCACCTAGATTACTCCAATTTGTCTCTAGACCTGTGCACCTACGTTATAAACTTTTTAATTCGTAGGTTGTTGTAGCAACCTCATGTGATGGGTATCATGTAGTAGCCTAAACCTATCGATGTTACATTGAACTGGGTGAATGGAATATGGATGACAGTCATCCAATATACTGCAATAGAAATAAGGCCATGATCATACAAAAAAACATTCGTCCTCCCCCTTCAGTCACTGGTGCACTGCCTCTGGGGTAGGCAGTCTCCCTCCCTTCCACTAACTAACGTTAGCTAGCTAGCTACCTACCTACCTACCAAGTTATCGACAGCAAGTTACGAAAACACAAACCGTTCAAACTACATACCTTACATTGTTCGCTAAAAAGTTTACCTTGTCGATACTAGATAATGGATAGCTATGTTCCATATTGTTGTAGTTTGCTTTCCAGGTGCGTCGGCTAGCATCTGCTGACTCGCTGTCACCCCCACTCACCGGTAGGCCAGACCTGAAACAAGTCTGAACAATCCCCACCCTAACAAACACATGCGTTCCGAAACATATCTGCAAAGTTTTAATTTGGCTAAAAACCAACTGAAGAATCGCAGTACTCGAAAATATTGTATATTATTATCATCGCACACATTAAAGTAATATCAAGAAAATATGACTTACTATTCCTTGATGAGGACCATTGTAGCTTTTTGGCTGCGGCTACGTATTACCGCTGATGTCATGTGCCTTTATGAACAACTCTCTTATTCCGCCCCTTACCGTCTGATTGGTGAGTGGAGATACTTATTTAAATGAATCTCACAGGAGTGAACTACTGCCATTATAAAAATGCAGGTCAATATTTCCTAGTGAAAATTATCTTTCATATGTGCAGGATTTTGCAAGATTCCCCCTGTCTGTTTCTCATTGATAACACAAAAACGATTCAACCACACCCATATAATTAACCCAGGTTTAGCCAATAAATCAATTTCTTCTTCTTCTATTTAGAGAGCACACAAGTCTTATAGATTAAAAATAGTTAGTTTGACTACACAAAAACTTGAATTGTATCGCTATATGTAAATTCTCCCTATGGTAATCTTGTGTTAGCTTTAATTGTGGTAGGCATGTAGACAGTTATGACTAGTTCTAGATTATTTGCCTAAGTAAGTGTGTGATTTCACAGTGTGTCCCATAAATCAGATTTAAAAGACAACAGGGCTGTATTCATAAAGCGTCTCAGATTAGCAGTGCCGAACTAGGATCAGTTTTGCTTTTAGATCTTAATGAATAAGATTACATGAAGCGGGAGGACCTGATGCTAGATCAGCACACCTACTCTGAGACACATTGTGAATATGGGGCAAGGCCCAGGTGTCATTGCACTGACCACAGTGAACTGTGTATAATTGTGGTCACAAGACCCCCCCCCCCATTAATGCAGTGATACAGCATTTTCATCAGCATTCTAAATCTTTAACACAATAAAGTGAGGCAAAAATACAAGAAAGCAAACATGATTTTTATTGAAACAGTTATACTGATAAATGACAGAGATGGTTGTCATGAAATTTCCATGTTTCATTAAAAAAAATCATGGGCTAAAAAGTCATACATGGTACTTAACATTGAATAGCAAGAGAATCCATGCTTCAGAGCAGACACTCAATTCACTAAGAAATCAGGCAAAATGCCAGTTTCCATTTCAATAAAAAATATTAAATCTTTTTTTTTTTTTTACTTTACATGGTACAGTTTTAACTTTTTTAATAATATAAAAACGCTTAATACTGATTGTGTAACACTGGATTTAATTTACAAAACAATAATAATATTAATAATAACAAATAATAATAATAATAATAATAACAATAACAATAATCATTAGATTGAAACAAAAATAGAATGGAGGAGACCAGTTGGAGCGGTTTCATCTTGGTCCACACAAATAACAAATTTGGGGGAGGAAATACCGATTGGCATTGAAGTCTACCTGACACACATGCACACAAACACAGTATCAGGTCTTTGAGTCTTTCTCATTGCCATTTACAGTGTTATGGGCACAACGACGAGACACTCTAAGCATTCATGAGCCTCTGAGGGATCACTCTCATTGGCTGATCAAATCCTTTTCATTGTCAATCAAGTTCGGTGGGCTAATAGTGACCCTCCAGAAAATGTCCTACTCCCCCAGTACACAGGATAGGAAGTGGTAGGCAAAATACAGGAAATAGGACCATTTTTAAAGTGTCTCAGCATTTGGAGGAGGGGAAAAACCTGCCAGGGGAGAGGAACTTGTATCCATTTCCAGCAGGTAGTCTGATAGAGCGAGCACCAGGGCTACTGCTAGTGGAAATAGTGGGCGAGGGGGCCACCTTTCTGGGGTTGTGTCCGTTGGAGGGGTTCTTGCTGCCCCTGTCCAGCGAGTGCAGCCCCAGCTCCCGCAGCTCCAGGCTGTCTTGGGCGTCGCTGGGGGAGCAGTGTCGTGGGGAGAGGTTCAGAAGGCTCAGCACATCTCTCTTGGCAGAGACTAGGGGTCCTGGGGTGCCACGGAGAGCCCGGACTGGACCCAGATGCTGCTGCTGTTGCTGGGCCGCTGCATTGGCCCAGAATGTCTTCAGGTTGTGGATGGCCACAACCTTCTCATCGATAACACCCCTTCTGAGGCGGTCCAGGTCTGGGACATCGGCAGGGCTGGAGCAGGCAGAGCCCGTGGAGGAGTAGGAGAGAGCTGGGGATGGGGCACTGCCAGCTGGGGACTGGTGGCCAGAGCTGGGCGACACGTTACTGGGAGAGCGGGAGATGTGCCCACTATAGGGGGAGCTGGGGTATTTTAGCTTGAACTGGGCATGGCTGTCCAGGGTGGGGGAGGGGTGACTGCCATCCTTTAGGGAGGTCTCCGAGGCTGCAGGGCTGTTGTAACCAGAGCTGATCTTCTGCAGAGAGGAAGAGCGGGATGGAGGTTTTGGTCGTGGGGAGGACTGGGCGCGGACACTGGTGCTGCTACTGGGACGGCTGAAGGCGCTGGTCTCTGAGGAGCGGAAGGCAGAGTTCCTGGCTGTGGCTCCAGCTGCAGCCCCCTCAGCCCCAGCCCGCTGTAGACTCCCCACCGCCCGCAGGTGGCTCTGGGTCTCTTCCAAGATCTTCTGGGCCAGCTCTTGGGGATCCAGAGGGACAGTCTTCTCTTCCTGGGATTTGACGGTGCTGTCTGTCTCAGTGCTGGACTGGTCCGACTCACCTGTGTCTGAGCTGCTAACCTTTCCCGGCACCTTCTGGAAGGGAGAGTTGGGGCTGGGAATCAGGCTGGTCTTGACAGGGGAAGTGGGGGTGCTGACACTGCCTCGTGACGACACAGAGACCTGGTAACCCCGCCCAGCGCCCGAGTTGGACCCCCCAACAACACCCTTTCCCCCGCGGTGGAGGTGGCGCTGCCCGTGACCCGGAGGTAGAGGCAGGGAGTCACAGTGACTTCCCAGAGGCTCACTGCTGATGATGGAGAAGCCTTCATACTCCTCGTCATCTCCCCGGCCCCCTCCTGCTGCTGCAGCCACCCCGTGAGGAGAGGAGCGACTGCGGGGAACGTGTGGGTGTTTGTGGGCGGAGAAGTGTGCTGTGGCCCCACCACGCTGTCGATGGCCCAGGAAGTCACACTCTGACTTGGACGCAAAGCTCATGTTGGAGGCCACGGAGCTCAGGCTGTAGACGGAGATGGCGTCTGAGGCCAGATTGTCCAGGCAGGGTGGGGAGAAGGGTGGGTTGGGGTAGCCCAGTGGTAGGGGGTTTGAGACATACTGGGCCGAGGCCAGGGACTCCAGGGAGGACGAGCTGTCCAGGCTGAGACGCTTTGGCAGCTCTGTGGAGTCTGGGATAGAGAGGAGGAGGGGGAAGAGTGGGACGAAATTGTAAGGGTGGACATGAACCTATCCTGTATCAATCAATTTTAATCACTGTGTATCTACAAATACGATACTTACCAAATAGTGCCAGTAGGGACTGGAGGGCAAAGTGCATGGTGCGGCGGTTGGCTTGCTTCCCCGTCTTCAGTACCACATCCTCCTGCCCCACCTCACACAGGTCGAACCCTGCACACACACAGGGCAGGACAGTTACTCTACCGGCTTAACACACATACAGCTGACTTGTAGTGTTTCACTCTACTCCTACTACTGACAAATTAGGAAATGATATTCATTTGGATATTGATTTTATTGATATCAATATCTCACCTAGTGCAGCCAGGAATTCATGGCAGCCTGGCAGTCTCCAGAGCTGCACACTGATGGACACCTGGATGGGCAGCAGAGAGAAGTCCTGCTCCTTCTCCCCTGTCTGCAGCTGGACCAGCACCTGGTGGAGCTGGAGGGACAGGAGTAAAGGAAGCTAAATATACCTTTAAATATACCACTTTTTAAGGACCTGAGTTGTGGAGATACTTTTTTAAGCAATGAAGTAGAACAAAACTGACGTGTGATCGTCGTGCTCAAGCCAACTGATTTCCTCCATACACCAGTGTCCTAAAATGACTTCCACCACGCCTATCTTTGTTGTGGCAGGGGAGATGTAGTTTCTGGCAGGCTTAGTAACTCTGCATCTGCCCATTGACCCTGTGTGGAGTTGATCCTTGTTCCCAGAGGATTGGCTCTTTAGCCTAGCAGGACTACAGTGCCTTTACTGTGGGGCATGGCTAAGTGGCTCAGGGTGGTTTAGATTAGGAGGGAACCACCTGTGCCCCCCAGGCGACACACACCCTCACTGTTTAGGGATTATTCAGCCTGGAACAGAGACACCTTTGTCAAACTGACCTGACATAACGTCACCACTTCATTAACATGCCTTCTTCCCCATCTCTTTTCTATTCATCATCTCTGTCGTTTTTACATAGAATTTTCATCCCTCTGACTACCGGCCCATAAACATCAGTGTGACCTTGAGTGAACCAGGGTTGTAAACCCAAGAACACTTATAATACTGCAGTCCATCAGTGGGTTGTTGTTCCCACTGCAGCACACTTTAAACTGGGGTCTCCTAGAGGTTGTACCTCAGTAACTGGAACAGTATGAGATATGAGAATGTGCTTCAACTTCACATGCAGTTGATCTATTACTCAATGAAACAGTTGATGCAAGATGGTGGTGCTATGTGGTTTAAAGCAGCGGTGAAAAGGAGAGGGATGGGGTGGGGTGGAGAGGGGTGCATGGGGAGGGGAGGTCACAGCACACTTACCATTCCCACCATATTTTTAACAGCCTTCAGACCGCAGGTTTAGAGACAGGGGCAGGAGAGAGAGAAGAGGCTTTTAGTTTCATGCATGCATGCATACAGGACAGGCCATTCACAAAGAGCAGAGGAGACCAGGTCCAATGGGGACACCAAGGGCACACAGGGAAACAGAAAAACACCACTGTTGGGTAGTGTGTCATACATTACACACATATTACACAAAAACATTGAATCACCATACATAGTTGCCTATGCAGTGTGATGTCAGGAATATCTCATGTATCATACATGCTTGGAGTGTTTCAAATGTTATAGTCGCCACCAATGTGGAAACAAAACCCCAAATCACTTTCTGGCTACCGTATTATTAATCTAAGCATGTGAAGATCACATGCTACATGTAGACATGGGAAACCCTCAGTGGGAATGACAGGGTTAACTCTCTGGCATCATGAGGAAGAGAACTCAGAATCAGAGCTGAGATTGTGGTGGTGGTGGAGATTTGACTGGGCTGCTGGGTTGCAGCATGCAGATTAAAGAGGGGGATTTGCAGGCGGCCCTTGCGTCAAGGTCTAACTAACCCATGTAACAGGGTTAACTGATGATATAATGATGCTTTGTTCTGCCTTCAGCCTTTACGGTCCAAGTGGTTAAGTAAGTCCCCAGTGGTTCAGATGATTTCTTTCATAATATACAATGTTTATCTAACTCTTTGGAGTTAAATACTACACTCCAGTGGTGAGCAGTAGCGTGGTGCTGTGATGCTGGGGCCTACCCGGTTGATGAGCTGCTCGCCTGCCTCAGAGGCAGTGATGAGTTTACACAGGGCTTGGAGAGCTGGGGGCGGTAGACCTGGGAGACACGGCCAAGCAGATGGTTCATTATTCATACAAGCTGCATTTAATATACCCTACGTTCAGTAGAAGAGGATATACAGGCTATACTATCTGGTAAAGAACACACAAAGCTGCTTGATAAGCAGTATTGTAACTTTTGATATTCAGTAGTAGGCCTACACTGAACCAGTATCTCTACATTAGAGACTTCTCTAACACCCAGAAAGCTTAGATTCAAACTCCCATTCACCAGCTCTGCAAGCGTTATAATGTAAAAAATACGTTCGTTTATTACTAAATATGGAGTTTCGTTGAGCAACTATCTTAATTTACTTCCGTTACGGCCGGTATGTATGTCCAAAAAAGGTCTAAATAAAAATGTCGAAGCAACTGAAGAAAATCTTATTCGGCACCTCTAATGTATTCATCTGTTGTAGACCTGAGTGATTTACATTGGAGGTGCCGAATAGGAATTTGTTTCAGTTGCTTGTACATTTTTATTTAGACCTTTTTTGGAAGTACATACTGGCCTTAGCGGGAGTAAATGAAGATAGTTTATCACCAAATATGGAGTTTTATTGAGCAACTAACATATTTTGACATTATAATGCTTGCAGAGCTGGTGAATGGGAGTTTGAATCTGAGCTTTGTGGTATAGAGAGGTCTCTAACGCACAGATACCGGTTCAAATCAAATCAAAATGTATTTGTCACATGAATACAACAGCTGTAGACCTTACAGTGAAATGCTTACTTACAAGCCCTTAACCAACAATGCCATTTTAAGAAAAATAAGTGTTAAGTAAAAAATATATAAGTAAAAATAAAAAATATATAACATTCTTAGAGATGTAGGCTCGGTTCTTGTTATGGCGCTGTTCTCCATCTGACTGTACTATCCCCAGTTCCATGTCCTCCTGCCAAGGCCCAGTGCCTACCAAGTATTGACTGCAGGGTGGTGCTACACTGCTGCAGCCTGTCTCCAGGGTCTGCTGTGGGGAAGAAGACAGCAGCAGGGATGTCCAGGCGGAAGCCCACAGCGGTCAGCAGGGCATGCCAGCCTGGGACGCCCCCCACCTTGTTCTCCACACTCTGCTGGGAGGTGTACATGGAGTTACGCTGGCCATTCTGAATCCTCTGGAGAGACTTCTCCACCTGGTGGGGACAGGGGGATTTAGAGGAGTGTTAGAGTGTGTGTGTTTGTGTGTGTGTGTGCGTGTGTGTATGTGTTTGACCCTCACCAGGTGCAATAAGACTCGTAGAGCATCCCGTGCTCTCTCTGGATACTGTAGGATCTCTGCTAGAGCCTGGCCAATCAGGGACGAGGGGCTGTTTAGCTTCACATCATTACCAATCAGCATGTAGCCTGGACAAACACACCCACAAGATCAATAGGAAGGAGAGGAAGAGAGAGATACAGACGGTGAGAGTCCAGTTGGGTGAACAGAAAGTACTTATAACACACTTGGGAGAATGGGTGAACTGGGATCTACTCAGTTGGAGTTGACAAACCAAGCCAATCTGAGTGTGTGGAAGTAGAATGTGTCTAACCTGCCCAGTTGGAGGGGTGGGAGTACTGCTTGCTGTTCTGGACAGTCTTCATGGCGTCTGCGAGGGCAGCGCTGGCCTTGGTCCCGTTGAGCAGGGCGGTGTAGAACGCATGGACGAACACTTTGGAGGCTGAGACAGGAACAGGCCACAGAGACACCAGGACACACTGGGCCCCAGCAGCCAGGAAGGCCCTGGTCAGACCTACCACACCGTCTGCTGTCACCTTACTGCTGGACTCCTGGTATGACCTGTAGATAAGATACACACACACACCACCAACACATGGTTACATAACCCTCTATCAGAAATACTAGACTACTGCTCTGTCGACTACAGCTTTAACTACCACAGCATAACTAAATAACTATCAGTGGATAACAGACAGTGAACATTTTGCAATAGAACCAGGTTCCCCCCTCTCCAGCCCCACTTGAACTAATATGTGTCCCACATTAGGCAAGCCTCCCCTCTCCTGGCCCACTCACCCCAGCACCACCAGTTTGACAGGCAGCCTCAGGTCAAGTATGTCAGCAGCTGTGAGCAGGAACTCCTGCAGGGGAGGGCTGTCACAGATGCTCTCCACGTCGCTCCCATCATCTTGCAGGCGCAGGCTCTCTGGGATGGTGTAGCTGCAGCCAAACGAGCCCTTCCTGCCCCTGCCGCCGCTGCCTCTCCTCCCTCCCCCTACCCCTCTCCCTCCAGTCCCCACCCCTGCCCCTGCCCCTGCCCCGCCGGGTATGCTCTCTGGGTTGGGTGTGAGAACCAAGGCGGCCAGCTTCCATGAGATGTGTGTAGCGAAGTGGGCACACTCGGCCTGGGTGAGGGCACTCATCACCCTCTCCTTGGTGGCAGAGGATCCAGCCAGGGGCTGGCAGCCCAGCAACTCAGACACCATGAGGGCCTCCTCCTCGGCCGAGGGCATGGGCCCCCATAGCCAGCGGTCCATCACTGACGACGGCAGACGAGGGTTTCCCACCACCGCCGCCATGGACACGCCCCCACAGGAAGCCGGCCCCGCCCGACGAGAATGACTCTGAGGACACATTGAGAGAGGCCAATGATGACAATGATAGAATGTAACAGGAGCTTGACAGTGGTAGTAACAGCAATAAAATAAGGTATGTCATTAAAATAATAGCCATTCTGTCATTTGACTAGGATGCTGACCTTGGAGCTGGTCCCCAGGCCCCGGATGGAGGGCACAGCGATGAGGCTGAAGCGTTCATACAGGTACTCATTAGAGGAGCTACCCTTCAGCAGGGCAAAGGGGATGAGGTACAACTCCCCCTCCAACACCAACACCAGCTGTCTGTGTCTGCCCACAGGACCACTGGAGTGCATCAGGCCCTGGACAGGGAGCGATGAGTGGTATTAATATTGTAATTAATATAGTATAAACACTTTCTCTCTCTCTCCCCCCGCCCCTCTCAAATACACACGCACACAAACACACAAACTGGTCATGGGAACATATGCTCACCCCTTCCATGGGTGCGATGAGCAGGTCGTAGAGGGCACGGAGAGGAGGTTTGCTGAGGCTGCTGGGTCGGCGGGGCAGAGAGGAGCAGCCATCTTTGGCTGGGGACATGGTGTTACTGAACAGGCTGGTCATACTCTGGCAGCTCCTGCAAAACACACAAACACAATAGTTCTCATTTCATAAAGAACAGCACTCTAAACTGTTTGGATAGAGAAGTGGTCATTACAGCTATTCACACTGGCACATACGGCATAGCGGTGTTAGGCAGCTAACCGGGTGCACACACACACAGACATACACGGCAGTGGGGCGGCAGGTAGCTTAGTGGTTAAGAGCGTTGTGCCAGTAACCGAAAGGTCGCTGGTTCTAATCCCCGAGCCGACTAGGTGAAAAATCTGTCGATGTGCCCTTGAGCAAGGCACTTAACCCTAATTGCTCCTGTAAGTCGCTCTGGATAAGAGCGTCTGCTAAATGACCAAAAAATAAAAAAATAAAAAATAAAAATACACACACACACACACACACACAATACTAATGGTCTTTCCGGTTGAGGAACTGTGCCTAGAGCCAGCCAACCTGCCGCAGAGTGCTGCATCAGAAGTGCCCTCTGGTGAGATGCAGCAGAGTCAGCCACAGCAGCAGTTCTTGTGGGCAATGTATTAATGGCACACTGTACTGCAGCATGTCATGGAGGGAGTGATACTGCACAGCACATTGACTCCTAATGGCCTGTCTCTCTCTTCCTCTTTCTACCCTTCATACTGCTCCCTCAGACCTGGACTAGAGAGTCCACCTCAGATCCAGTTCTAAGTCTCAATGGAAGAATGAATAGTTATATTTTCTGTTCTGAGACAATAATAATCATTTTTGCTTTTGAGATAATATAAATGTCCACTAGATGGCGATGTGGGACTGTAGAACTGTGGAGGGGAGAGTAGCGTGAGACCTCTGACCACTGATAGACTCACTGCTGGAGAGGGAGAGAGAGAGAGAAAGTGACACCTCTCCTGCGCCTCTCCCCAACTATCCACCCAGTTACCTGACATGAACCTAAAGAAACACTACAACCTCTCCGCTTACGGTGGAGGATATCCAATGATCTACTTAATGTATGTGTGCTATACTGCAAATAATACTGTAGTATGAATGATCATTTTGTTCTGTTCACTATTGAATAGGTGCGCCAGTGTTTTGTGTTGCAGGATCCCCATGCCTGGTTCTGAACTAGACATTAATAAGACACTGCTGCTCAACATTAGCAGTACTGCTGAATACAAATGCTATGTGTGCTGTGTGATGAAGAGAGAGTGATGGCTCCCTGCTTGGGCAGAGGTGCACTGTGTGGCACGCTGAGAGCTGTGGTAATGGCCGCCGTGGACTGATAAGCCTTCCACTTTGTTTACACACAGCCAGGACCAGGCCCAACCGGGCACACTGCTACAGCCAGTCTCTCCCCCCCGACCCCCTCCCTCCATCCTGCCCTTCTGGTACCCCCAAGCAACTGGCTCTCCTCCAGCTCCCTAGCTCTCTCCAGTCTCTTTCTCCCAGGCCCTGGCACAGGCCTCAGAGGGAAAGCCAACAGGCGTTTGTTAGCCTAACAGGAGGAGTGTGAGAGGAAATGAGGGTCGTGTGAAGAAAAGGTACAGAGTGCAGAGGGATAAAAAAGAGAGAAGGGTTGACCAATTTTCTTTAACCAATTCTCAGGAATGGTGAGAATAAAAGGCTAGAAGAAGAAGGCTTGGAGGTTAAGTATCTGTTCCTTGGCTCTTTTATCTGGGTGCAGGTTAAATGGAATGCCTGTCAATGAGAGAGACAGACAGGAAGAGACAGTTGGACAAAGGTGGATATGTCGGCTACCAACTCTTCACTAGGATCCAACTCTCCCAATGGATTCAGTCATCTAATTCTATTGCACCAAACAAGCCGATAGCCACCTAGAGTGGCCACCCTGACGGTCCTGTCTGTGTGTTTATACGTTTATTGAGCTCTTCAATAGAGTTCTCCTTAACCTCTATACAATGTCTACGAACATCTGAGAGAAGAGCTCTGTTAGTCCTTATAAAGCGAGATTACACATGAGGTAATCTCCCATGGACAGATGAACATAACATAACTGGTATCGTAGCATCTGTCAACAGACTGTGGGACGCGACAACTAACAAGGAACTTTTGATCACTGATCATTTGGACAAATTCGCATCTTTTGAATATTGTAAGGGGAGGGGACATTTGGCACATAGACTTGCCCGTAACTTGCAAAGGAAGGGGGGTGGAGCTACCGCCCTATTGCCGCTCCTCGTTCTAGTATCGTTTCTGACCTCAGAACTTAATCAAGCATCTGACTCAATTACGCAAGATTTTAATTCTGGGTTTCCAAGATTACAGATGAGGTGACTTTTAACCTATCAAATTAGCTAGCTCCTTTATAGATTCACTTTAGTAGCTCTCTCTAAAGATAGATGAGGTCAAAGATAATGTCAGACATTTAGACACTTTGGCACAAACTATACAATCTTTCTTTTAACTTGTTCTTCGTTCTATTGTTGATATATAATTTTTTGTAATGTATTTGTTTCTTCTAATAAAATATATTCTCTGAATTAAAAGTAGTTAAGAGAATAATGTTTCTCTCTCACATCAACAATCTTCAACTCAGACAGCAAAGGGACTACGGAGAATGTTGATGAGGAATAAAATAAAAGAAAGTCACATATTTTATTTTAATATCAAAACCCCAAAATGTATGGCTTGAAATGACAATGAGCCTTTATTCATTTTACTCTGCTTTAGTGAGATTGATGAGTGGCTCTTAAGCACAAGGGGCTTTATGATTCAGATAGTTTTTGGGCCCCAGAAGAATGAGCAGATTATTACTGGCAACCCATTAAAGGGGCTTAATGAGCATGGAGACGCAATTACAGCAGGAATTACCCTCTCATCAAAGAGGAGCTCAACTGGAGACGAGGACAGGGAAATACGACCCAGACACACACACACACGCACGCACACTTAAACACACACACACACACTTAAACACACAGACACATATTGCCAATCGGTACAGTGTAAACACATGCACTGAATGACAAAGTGATACTAACACAGACACACTCAGTATATATACCATCGTAAAATCACACTCACAGAAATATGTACAACTGGGCTCCAAAAACAGATAGACTCACACTTGCATACAGCACACACATTAACACACACTCTTAATAGTCTAATGGAGGCAGGGAGCTGATAAGGGCTTTTCCAGCTCTGCTCTGCTCAGCCAGTTTAATAAAGAGGATTCACATGCCTCTGCGATGGCTAAACAAAGGAGAAAATACTATTTTCACAGAAAGCTAATTTTCAAATGAATTCCGGATCCTCTCTCTCATCAGATAGCTTTCTTATTATGGGAATGTGGGGGAATTGGAGATGAATGATAAAGGCTCTAACTAACTGCTCCTGTAGGCCAGTGTATCACACAGTGTCTGTCTCACCTGTTGAAGAGATTGTTTCTGGACACCATGCGGAGGAAGCCAGTGGGGTCAGTCACAGAGTTGAGTTTGTTGTTGAGCTCCTCAAACTGCTGGTCCAACAGGTCCCCTGCCTCACTCTCTGTCTCACTGCTGGAACAACCCCTGAGGGAGGGAGAGAGAGAGAGAGAGAGAGAGAGAGAGAGAGAGAGAGAGAGGAGAGAGAGAGAGAGAGAGAGAGAGAGAGAGGAGAGAGAGAGAGAGGAGGAGAGGAGAGAGAGAGAGAGAGAGAGAGAGAGAGAGAGGAAGGAAGGGGGGAGGAGAAGGAGTGAGTGAGGGGGAGAGAGAGAGATTATACCGTTAGACATACAGACTGCATGCACACACACTCTTATTCACACACACACACACACACACACACACACACACACACACACACCCGTCCAACCCAGTTTCCCAGGCATGGTCCAGGAAGGGCCCTAACAGGAAGCAGAGTTAAATCCTCTCTTTCATATGCTGCTAATGGTGATTCAGACAGCGCCCAGCAGGGAGTCTGTTCTGTTCTTCTATCCTCTACCCCCTCTATATCTACACCCCTCCTCTCCCCATACACACCCCTCTATCTATCCATCCCTCCATCCCTGCCCCCTCTTTTACCCCCACATCTCATCCAAACTCCCCTCCATCTTCCTCTGTCAGCTCACTGCTCTCAACGGTACCAAGTTAAACCATGTGAACTGTTGCTCTCATCTAAAATCTCTCCCTCTCTCTTTCTGTCTAATTTTCCTCTCCACTAAGCCTTTCTCTGAGATCCCTTCCCATGAGGTCCCTCTCTGTCCACATCTCTCTAACACACAGCGGCTGCACTCACACGTGTGCTAGTAGGTGGGAGAGGTACATACAGTACTGTACAGTTTAGAAGGTATGGGGAGATGGGAAGTGGGGAAAGAGAGATATTCTATGGTTGACTGGTTTTATTGATGAGGACTGAGGACACACAGTCTTCCCAAATATGGATGCTGCCCTTTTCTGTCTCTCTGTTTCTCTCCTTCCCACTATCTTCCCCTCACACCCCCCTCCCCTTCTTCGTTTCCCTCTCTTTATCCTCTGTGGAGAGTGAATGGGGCGGTAAGGGGTGCCATATTGTGGCCAGCCAGGCGTAGTGGCATGTGTGCTGCCTCCCATTGGAGCGGTAAATGACTCAGTAATGGGGCAGGAGGGCATGGCAGGCTGGTGGGGGTGGAGGTTGGCAGTGGGCACACAGGCTGGGTACTATGGGCTAAATCCTAATTTGAGAAACGTGTGCCCTCATACAAAATGTAGGTTAATGATAGGGACATTTGCTTGGAAGTTCAATGACACAAGTAGTCACCTAAAGTAAACCTGCAGTTTGATTGCTCAATTAATTAATTTGTCATTAACTGTTCCTTTTTTAAAGTCACTTTATATTCTGCATAGTCTATCTAACAAGTCTCCTCCCACCCGTGCATCTCACTCCATCCATTTCCCCCTGTATCTCACTCCATCCATTTCCCCCTTTATCTCACTCCATCCATTTCCCCCTGTATCTCTGCCTTCCTCCTTTCTTCAGCTCCATCTTCTTCCTCTCCTCAGCCCTCTGTAAGCTGTCTGCTGTATTTCCCTGTCTCCCAGTCCCAGACAGTATTTGTTAAGTGAGTTCAGTGGGCATCCAGAGATCCATTATTCTGTCTCATTGGTTCTCAGTGGGGACAGAGAGCAGTAGCAGGTAGCGAGGTCCTGTCATCACACCACCCACAGGGGCACAATGACTCCCTGAGACAGCATACAGAACAGCACAGTATTCTTCTATGAGCATCAGCCTGTCTCCACCCTATAGAATGGTATATTTATTCTGGGCTCTGAGTGTGTGTGTGTGTGTGTGTGTGTGTGTGTGTGTGTGTGTGTGTGTGTGTGTGTTTGTGCGTTACCTGCTGTAGTAGGACTCTACTCCCAGGGCCTCCCGAGCACTGGCAATGTGCTGCTCCAAAGACGAGCCGCTGGCCACACCCCCTCCCCCACCCTCATGGAGGTCTGGCCCGCCCTCTGTCACACCCTCTCCCAAGTACACCTGATGGAACTTCAGGATGCCTGGGGAGAGAGAGAAAGAGAAAAGGAGATTACTGTCAACAAGCTAAACATATTGGTCATATCACAATGTGCAAAGGAATAGCACTATGCTACACTATGTCATGAGGCACACAGCACTATTGGACTTATTACACTATAATGAAAGTGTAATAAAAACTGTTTAGTAGCCTTCACTTTAAAACAGCCCAACAAACATGTTAACAATAAGAGAGCATATGTAGAGATTTCACACTGAAAACTGTAAGTTACGCTACACCTACGATCTGCACATCTGCAGAGCAAAATGAATAAAACAAATAATGTTCAATAAAATATAAGAGTGGCTGCCTGTGCCATCTGCTCCGTGCCATGGGAGCTGAGATGTTGCGGGAGGGAGGAGGGGAGAGGAGGGGGGTACTACCACAGTAGTGGTGGTAGATACTGAGTGCTGGGGTTGAGTTGGGCTTTGAATGTGTTCAGATCTGTGAGTTGGCAGACAGGCTGCACACCAGTTAAATGATTAGAGGAGTCCCTTTACTGACTAAGGGTTGTTTTACCCAGACCCTGTGCTGTGTGTATGCCAGCTGTATGCCAGTGAATGCCAGGGAGAGACTGGGACAGAGCAGAAGGCTAATTACAGGACTGTTGGCCTCTCTTAGCCTCAGGCAAGAGGCAGCTCTTTCAACCTTTCATTCCCCTCCGCAGTATTACACCCATCTATATGACTACAGGTAGGGGGGTCAGACACACAGCCTTCATTCAGTAGGGCTAAAAGAGAAGCAAGGACTAGCAGTCTCCATGGCAGCAAGAGCTGTCAGTCAGGCCAGAGCAGTAACTGGGCTTCAGAGCCTCCTCTATTCTCTTTGGTGAGAGAGAGAAACAGAGAGAGAGAGAGAGGCTATGAAGTCTCACTACTCAATCCTAAAGACAGCACAAAACTAATGCACAACGCTTGTTTGTGTGAGTTTGTGTGTGCACGCACAGGAGTATGTGTGTGTGTGTTTTCCTGTTGACTTGTTTGTGAGGATGTTGATTGTGCAAGTGCACTTTGGCTTTGTCACTCTCGGTTACCATGGTTCATTGGCAGGTGCCCTGGGGGGTGAGAGGCCAGGCGGGGTGGCACTGCCAGCAGTGGAGTGGCAGGTGGCGCTGCCGCCTTCTGTTAAAGAGGGCTTTCTTACCCTCGCCCGCCTCTGAACACAAGACATGCCTTCCAGGACTCTCAGCTAAACAAAGCACAATCATGATGAAATTCACTGTTTGAGTGAGTGTGTATGTGTGTGTTTTGTGTCTGTATAATGTGTTGTATAATGTGGCATAATAGATTTGTACAGATTTATAGTCCCTTTACCCTTATAGCTCATTGTATCAGCACACAGAGGAACTGAGTTAGTTGACCTACGCCTCCCTCTCCCCCAGGTCTTACCTGCTCCTGGAGCCAGCAGCCAGCTGTACAGGTACCCAGCAGCCATGGAGAAGTAGAGCACCAGGGCCCTCTGGCTGTTCACCGTGTCCAGGATGTGCTCCACTGTGACTGGGGTGTAGGGGTCTGAGTCCTTCTGGCCTGTCTGCCTCTCCACCAGCAGGTCAGCAAATGCTCGTGTCCGACCCCGCTCTGCCACCGCCAACGCCTCGTCATGGTGGCCTGGCCGGAAGAAGGTCAATGGTCAACATTGGGTTTTTTAAGTTCATTATGGAGTGGTGGATTTTTTTTTACAGAAGACACAAATAAAGATGGAAATAGAGCAGAAGAGCAATCAAAAAGAGAGGTGAGCAATGGACAAAGATAGTGTAAAGTGTGAGAAAACCTAGGCTGACGAGGACCCTCTGGAGTGCCTGATAGGAGGAGGTCTGCAGGTCAAACAGAGACAGTTTGTAGTCGGTGCTGTGCTGGGCCTCGTGACGAATGGTCTCAAACAGTGCAGATGCTCGGTAGAGCTATAGGACAAATAACACAACCACACAGAAAACCATCAGATACATCCATATCCCTGTTCGCTGTAGAGCTCTCAGAGACTTGCAGAAGTAGGGTGAAGCCACTAGATGGCAGCAGCCCTCTTCAGTGTAAATTATGTTTGATATCTGCACTGCTACCCCTCTCCCTCTTAACCTGATCAGTCCCAAGCCAAATCAGTCTGGTTTTGTCACTCATTTCAAGTATCTCCTTGGCAAGCCCTCATATTTAGTCTCACATTGAAGTGCTTTACTGTAAAATGAAAAACTATTTGACATAAAAAGTTACATTCATGAGTTTTATTGACTAATGTCACTACAAAAATGAGGTGTGCCAAACAATAACCTGATAAAAAATGAATGTTTAAGAATCCTGTAAGTACAGAAAACTAGTCAGTGACAACTATGTGGAGTTTGTGACAGTAACTATGTGAATGTATTACAGTATTACAGACATTATTTCATGGGCAGAAATGAGTGAAATGTACTCTAATATTCATAAAACATGACCCATTGTCATATATTCATGTCTGTGATCTGTCTGTAAGTGTTATGAAGTCTGTATGAGAGATATAAGACAGCTCAGGTAAACATGAGGAACCATCACAATGCAATATTTCTGTATGATCTCCTTTGAAGTAAACCCCTTACATTCTAACGAGTCCTGCGGCATGTAAGCGTCGTAAAAGCAAAACAGACAACACGTGTATGTTCGTGAGAGTCTTTCCATGGTGGGGTCATAATAGTCTGTAGCTCAAACCGTTTCGGACTTTAGAGACATTTTGGTGGAAACAACCATTTTGGAATGTCTCCTGGTTTCACAAACGGCACTCTAACTCAGCCTCCGTCCATAGCACAGGCCTGTGGCTGTTATGGGTGGATCTACGACAAATAGACGCGTCTAATGTTTGTAGCAGACTCCTGGAAGTCTGTAGCTGAATCAGGCAACTCAGGTGTTCAGAGCCAGTCCAAATCATGGATCTATGATATTGGGCCTGATGGATACAGCTCCACAGCTATCCTCCCCTCTCATCTCATCTGGTCCAGACAAGAGAGAGGGCACTCAGATGCTAATTCATCGCCTGGGCACACATTGTCTTCTAGGGAAACAGTGTGTCCACAGAAACAAAGCATTCCCTGCTCCACACATCTTTTCTCTGTTCAGTGTCAGACGCTAACATCAGGCTGGAGAGGGAGAAGAAGAGGGATAGAAAGAGGTGGGAGGGTAGACAGAGTGTGGGCGGAGGCTGAGCTGCCAGGCCAGGCCAGTCAGGAGTGCTGATTCATGGGAGTTGTTATTGGTTCCCTATTCCTCTTCTGTTGGCATGCCTTCAAGAAGACTGAGAATGTTCCACCTCCACAGCCAGTCTGTATGAGGCCAGAAGTGAGATTGAACTATGCACACCAAACATTCAGATAGCTGCTGCCCTGGGACTGGCACATGGAAGGTGAGTGTGTGTGTGTGTGTGTGTGTGTGTGTGTGTGTGTGTGAGTGTGTGTGTGTGGGGTGGGGGGGGGGTTGGTTACAGCGATCCAGGCCACTAAAGTATGTCAGACGATATTGAGAGAGAATGAGAGAGAGAGCAGTGGGAGAGCAGAGTGTGGTTGTGCAACATTAGAGCTGGAAGTCCAGTCTGGGCTGGCTGATTCTGCTGATAGGGCTGCAGGCTGATTGCTGCAAAGCTACTTCAATCTTTTGGGCACACAGACATCCTTTTAAGATTAAAACTCATTTTTCACACCGCCTTCCCCCCTGGCCCAACCTCACCCTTCACAGATTAAAAGAAAACAATCCCAATGTCCTGCCTAGATGCTGTACAGCTAATATCAAAATAGGGGTCTAGGACATTTATATGGGCATTTATGCACCCGATATAACCCATGATTACCATTCCTTTTATTTGACATTTTCACACTATGACAGTTGTACATGTAATCCCCATCACGATGCCTGATACGACTCTCATCATGTCTTTTCCCCAGTTCTACGTTCACCCTCTCTGATAGAAGTTATGAGCAGTAAAACTTTAAACCCATTACATTCCACTTAACATTCATCTATTAATCCCATGTCACAATATGAAACCATGTATTCATCACAAATCTGATTGAACTGTGGGCAGGTCAAATCTCTCTCCCACAGAGGACACGGCGGATCAGAGTGAGGGTGTTAAAACACAATTAGGTTTAAACGTGGAGAACGGTGAACATGAGGTCAAATCGTCTCATTCCAACAGTACGGATGCTGTATGAATATTAAGTGCAGTAATATTGCATAGTGGGACATAGTTGGCTATGTAAATCAGCCCTGAAGTGGGTCAGGCTATTTACCAAGGTCATATAGCTTTACCACCAGCAGTAAAGCCCTCCCTGCTTCCTCATGAATAATCATCTCATCTATACTCTGAGGACAACTACAGTATGTCCTTTCCTTTCCTTTCCCAACAACAACCCACCCTGAGAGCTACACTGACTGGAGGAAATATCCCAAACATTACTGAATTGCCTGGGAAAGAACTTGGGTGTGAAATGACAAAATAGTGTTGCTTGGGCTAACATTACATTTTAGTCATTTAGCAGACACTCTTATCCAGAGCGACTTACAGTTAGTGAGTGCATACATTTTCATACTGGCCCCCCGTGGGAAACGAACCCACAACCCTGGCGTTGCAAGGGCCATGCTCTACCAACTGAGCTACAGGGGACTATAACATCTGTTTGACTGTTAAGCCTGAGGGGTATGGGGATAAGGTCATTGTAATAGAGATGTTAGAGAGAGAGAGAGCGAGAGAGAGAGAGAACACTGTACATAGCTGATAATACAGTGAGGGAAAAAAGTATTTGATCCCCTGCTGATTTTGTACGTTTGCCCACTGACAAAGACATGATCAGTCTATAATTTTAATGGTAGGTTTATTTGAACAGTGAGAGACTGAATAACAACAAAAAAACCTATAAAAACGCATGTATTAAATGTTATAAATTGATTTGCATTTTAATGAGGGAAATAAGTATTTGACCCCCTCTCAATTAGAAAGATTTCTGGCTCCCAGGTGTCTTTTATACAGGTAACGAGCTGAGATTAGGAGCACACTCTTAAAGGGAGTGCTCCTAATATCAGCTTGTTACCTGTATAAAAGACACCTGTCCACAGAAGCAATCAATCAATCAGATTCCAAACTCTCCACCATGGCCAAGACCAGAGAGCTCTCCAAGGATGTCAGGGACAAGATTGTAGACCTACACAAGGCTGGAATGGGCTACAAGACCATCGCCAAGCAGCTTGGTGAGAAGGTGACAACAGTTGGTGCGATTATTCGCAAATGGAAGAAACACAAAATAACTGTCAATCTCCCTCGGCCTGGGGCTCCATGCAAGAAATCACCTCGTGGAGTTGCAATGATCATGAGAACGGTGAGGAATCAGCCCAGAAATACACGGGAGGATCTTGTCAATGATCCCAAGGCAGCTGGGACCATAGTCACCAAGAAAACAATTGGTAACACACTACGCCGTGAAGGACTGAAATCCTGCAGCGCCCTCAAGGTCCCCCTGCTCAAGAAAGCACATATAAAGGCCCGTCTGAAGTTTGCCAATGAACATCTGAATGATTCAGAGGAGAACTGGGTGAAAGTGTTGTGGTCAGATGAGACCAAAATTGAGCTCTTTGGCATCAACTAAACTCGCCGTGTTTGGAGGAGGAGGAATGCTGCCTATGACCCCAAGAACACCATCTCCACTGTCAAACATGGAGGTGGAAACATTATGCTTTGGGGGTGTTTTTCTGTTAAGGGGACAGGACAACTTCACCGCATCAAAGGGACGATGGACGGGGCCATGTACTGTCAAATCTTGGGTGAGAACCTCCTTCCCTCAGCCAGGGCATTGTAAATGGGTTGTGGATGGGTATTCCAGCATGACAATGACCCAAAACACAAGGCCAAGGCAACAAAGGAGTGGCTCAAGAAGAAGCACATTAAGGTCCTGAAGTGGCCTAGCCAGTCTCCAGACCTTAATCCCATAGAAAATCTGTGGAGGGAGTTGAAGGTTCGAGTTGCCAAACGTCAGCCTCGAAACCTTAATGATTTGGAGAAGATCTGCAAAGAGGAGTGGGACAAAATCCCTCCTGAGATGTGTGCAAACCTGGTGGCCAACTACAAGAAACGTCTGACCTCTGTGATGCCAACAGGGGTTTTGCCACCAAGTACTAAGTCATGTTTTGCAGAGGGGTCAAATACTTATTTCCCTCATTAAAATGCAAATCAATTTATAACATTTTTGACATGCGTTTTTCTGGATTTTTTTGTTGTTATTCTGTCTCTCACTGTTCAAATAAACCTACCATTAAAATTATAGACTGATCATGTCTTTGTCAGTGGGCAAACGTACAAAATCAGCAGGGGATCAAATACTTTTTTCCCTCACTGTATAACACTTTAAAATCTTTTTTCAACCTTTTTGAATGCAATATTTACTGTTAAATTCTAAGAGTTTTGTGTTGATGTTGTTTTGTGTCTTCTCACTGTTGTTTATTTCACATGCATTGACAATGTAAACACATTTCCCATGCCAATAAAGCCCCTTTAAATTGAATTGAAATAGAGAAAGAAAGAGAGAGAGAGATACAGTTGAAGTTGGAATTTTACATACACTTAGTTTGGACTCATTAAAACTAGTTTTTCAACCACTCCACAAATTGCTTGTTAACAAACTATAGTTTTGGCTAGTCGGTTAGGACATCTACTTTGTGCATGACACAAGTAATTTTTCAAACAATTGTTTACAGACAGATTATTTCACTTATAATTCACTGTATCACAATTCAAGAGGGTCAGAAATGTACATACACTAAGTTGACTGTGACTTTGAACAGCTTGGAAAATTCCAGAAAATGATGTCATGGCTTTAGAAGCTTCTGATAGGCTAATTGACATCATTTGAGTCAATTGGAGGTGTACCTGTGGATGTATGTCACGCTCTGGTTCCGGGACTTGGTATTTTAGCCAGAGTGTGTTAAGTATTGTTGTGTTTGGGTTGGTTGGGTGGTTATTGGTTGTTTCTGTGTTTGGTTGAGTGACTCCCAATCAGTGGTAACGAGTGTCAGCTGTCGGCTCGTTATCTCTGATTGGGAGCCATATTTATACTGCATGTTTTCCTGTGGGCATTGTGGGTTATTGTTTCCGTTTCAGTCGTGTCACTGAGGACTTCATGATCGTGGTTTATTGTTTTTATCGTGGTTTCTTTAATAATAAAGTCTACGATGTTCGCTCAACACGCTGCGCTTTGGTCTCCTTCACTCATTGGCGCCCGTGACAGAAAAACCCACCACAACGAGACCAAGCAGCAGTTGGATAACGAGAGGAGAGACCCCCAGAAAATTTTTAGGGGGGGGCTCACGACGTCGGGGCAGAAGGTGTACGGCCCGGAGGAGTGCAAGAGGTTGGCAGATATGGCCGCCAGTTTAAGGGGGCCACTGGTTACGAAGGGGATGGAAAGTGTGGAGGCACGGCGAGAGGTACTGGGGGGTGTTTCCAGTCCGGTCCGGCCCGTTCCTGATCCCCGTGTAGGGCCAGGGGTGTGTGTCCCCAGTGCGGTTCTGTCTGTTCCTGTTCCTCGCATTGAACCTACGGTGCGTTTCGCCAGCCCAGCCCGGCCTGTCCCTGCTCAACGCACCGAGCCTACGGGGTGCGTCGCCAGCCCAGCTCGGCCTGTTCCTGCGCCCCGCACCAAGTCTGTGGTGCGTTTCGCCAGCCCAGCCCGGCCTGTTCCTGCGCCCCGCGCCAGGCCTACGGGGTGCGTCGCCAGCCCAGCCCGGCCTGTCTCTGCTCTACGCACCAAGACTACGGTGTGCGTCGTCGGCCCAACTCGGACTATTCCTGCTACTCGCACCAAGCCAGGGAGGCGAGTCGTCAACCTGAGGAGGTCCGTTCCGGCTCCACGTACCAAGCCGAGGGTGCGTATCGTCGGCCAGGTCCGGTCCATCCCTGTCTCACGCGCCAAGCTAGGGGTGCGCGTCATCAGTGTGGATCCAGCCAGCTGGGTTGGATTGGACCGGGGCCATTACGGGGGGAGTTATGTAGGGTGGTGGTCAAGCCCGGAGCCGGAGCCGCCTCCGAGGAGCAACACCCACCCAGCCCTCCCCTATTTGGGGTTTTGAGGCGCGGTCGCAGTCCGCGCCTTTAGGGGGGGGTACTGTCACGCTCTGGTTCCGGGACTTGGTATTTTAGCCAGAGTGTGTTAAGTATTGTTGTGTTTGGGTTGGTTGGGTGGTTATTGGTTGTTTCTGTGTTTGGTTGAGTGACTCCCAATCAGTGGTAACGAGTGTCAGCTGTCGGCTCGTTATCTCTGATTGGGAGCCATATTTATACTGCATGTTTTCCTGTGGGCATTGTGGGTTATTGTTTCCGTTTCAGTCGTGTCACTGAGGACTTCATGATCGTGGTTTATTGTTTTTATCGTGGTTTCTTTAATAATAAAGTCTACGATGTTCGCTCAACACGCTGCGCTTTGGTCTCCTTCACTCCTAGACGATCGTGACAATGTACTTCAAGGCCTACCTTCAAACTCAGTGCCTCTTTGTTTGACATCATGGGAAAATCAAAAGAAATCAGCCAAGACCTCCGAAAAAACGTTGTAGAACTCCACAAGTCTGGTTCATCCTTGGGAGCATTTCCAAATGCCTGAAGGTACCACGTTCATCTGTACAAACACTAGTACGCAAGTATAAACACCATGGGACCATGCAGCCATCATACCGCTCAGGAAGGAGAGGCGTTCTGTCTCCTAGAGATTAACGTACTTTGGTGCGAAAAGTGCAAATCAATCCCAAAACAACAGCAAAGGACCTTGTGAAAATGCTGGAGGAAACAGGTACAAAAGTATCTATATCCACAGTAAAACGAGTCCTATATCGACATAACCTGAAAGGCTGCTCAGCAAGGAAGAAGCCCATGCTCCAAAACCGCCATAAAAAAGCCAGACTACGGTTTGCAACTGCACATGGGGACAAAGATCGTACTTTTTGGAGAAATGTTCTCTGGTCTGATGAAACAAAAATAGAACTGTTTGGCCATATTGACCATCGAAAAAGCGTGTGCGAGCAAGGAGACCTACAAACCTGACTCAGTTACACCAGCTCTGTCAGGAGGAATGGGCCAAAATTCACCAAACGTATTGTGGGAAGCTTGTGGAAGGCTACCCGAAACGTTTGACCCAAGTTAAACAATTTAAAGGCAATGCTACCAAATACTAATTGAGTGTATGTAAACTTCTGACCCACTGGGAATGTGATGAAATAAATAAAAGCTGAAATAAATCATTCTCTCTACTATTATTCTGACATTTCACATTCTTAAAATAAAGTGGTGATCCTAACTGACCTAAAACAGGGAATTTTTACTAGGATTAAATGTCAGGAATTGTGAAAAACTGAGTTTAAATGTATTTGGCTAAGGTGTATATAAACCTCCGACTTCAACTGTACATTGGACTGGGTCAGCTCCCGCTCAGCCCAGTCAAAGCTCTTCTCTGTCCTGGCACCCCAATGGTGGAACGAGCGTCCACCTAATGCTAGGACATCAGAGTGCCTGCCCATCTTCCGAAAACTTCTGAAACCCTACCTCTTCAAAGAGTATCTTAAATAATCCCACAGCACCCCCCCCCCCCCCCCCCCCCAAAAAAAAAAAACAACAACAACACCCGTGACTTTGTGAACTAACAGTCACTATTTACTTTTTCATTACTAGCACTGACTTTGCTGATAGCTACTTTATTGAGGAACATTTTTACCTACTATGACTGAGATATGTGGTTGTCCCACCTAGCTATCTCAAGATGAATGCACTAACTGTAAGTCGCTCTGGATAAGAGGGTGAATAAAATGTAAATCCTCCCTTCCCATCCAATGTCTCTCTCTACACACATGCAGATAGGTAACCTGTGTAATGTGTATGTTGTGTTTGAGGAGAGGTTAATGTCAGATGCGTACCTGGTGCTGGGCCTCCTCCAGGTTCCCACTGGCCCACAGAGACAGCCCCAGACGATGGCGGATCTTAGCCTCATCCTCACGCCGAGCCAGCTGCTCCGCCAGCCGTAGGCCTGGAGAGAGAGAGAGAGAGAGAGAGAGAGAGATATCATAACTAATTTAGAGCTATGGGCAGGCAGGTATCTTTCAGGGTAACAGATGTAAGCGTGGTACTGATATTCTGACAGTGAACAGCTTCAGTTGTAAAATCCCACTCAGTCTGGGCCTCACACACACAAACACAAACACAAACACACACACACTCCCAAAAACACAGTACGAGGCTGTTAGGGCACTAATCTGGATGCCTAGTAATCAATGGTAAGGATCGAATGGCTGAGCAAACACAAACACATCCTTAATGCTTCTGTATAAAGGAAGTGGGAGGCTAACCAAACACAAGAGGTTTAATAGAGTCTAGAGACAATACTTCTGTAATGTTCGATTACAAATGGAAGGTAGACACTCGTACATTAGAGCAAAAAAACAACACATACAGTTGAAGTCAGAAGTTTACATACACTTAGGTTGGAGTCATTAAAACTTGTTTTTCAACCACTCCACAAATTTCTTGTTAACAAACTATAGTTTTGGCAAGTCGGTTAGGACATCTACTTTGTGCATGACACAAGTTATTTTTCCAACAATTGTTTACAGACATATTATTTCACTTATAATTCACTGTATCACAATTCCAGTGTGTCAAAAGTTTACATACACTAAGTTGACTGTGCCTTTAAACAGCTTGGAAAAGTCCAGAAAAGTATGTCAAGGCTTTAGAAGCTTCTGATAGCATAATTTCTTTTTTTTTTTTTTTTTTTTTGACATCATTTGAGTCAATTGGAGGTGTACACGTGGATGTATTTCAAGGCTTACTTTCAAACTCAGTGCCTCTTTGCTTGACATCATGCGAAAATCAAAAGAAATCAGCCAAGACCTCAGAAAAAAATTGTAGACCTCCACAAGTCTGGTTCATCCTTGGGAGCAATTATCCAAACGCCTGAAGGTACCACGTTCATCTGTACAAACAATAGTATGCAAGTATAAACACCATGGAACCACGCAGCCGTCATACCGCTCAGGAAGGAGACGCGTTCTGTCTCCTAGAGATTAACGTACTTTGGTGCGAAAAGTGCAAATCAATCCCAAAACAACAGCAAAGGACCTTGTGAAAATGCTGGAGGAAACAGGTACAAAAGTATCTATATCCACAGTAAAACGAGTCCTATATCGACATAACCTGAAAGGCTGCTCAGCAAGGAAGAAGCCCATGCTCCAAAACCGCCATAAAAAAGCCAGACTACGGTTTGCAACTGCACATGGGGACAAAGATCGTACTTTTTGGAGAAATGTCCTCTGGTCTGATGAAACAAAAATAGAACTGTTTGGCCATAATGACCATTGTTATGTTTGGAGGAAAAAGGGGGTTACTTGCAAGCCGAAGAACACCATCCCAACCGTGAAGCACGGGGGTGGCAGAATCATGCTGTGGGGGTGCTTTGTTGCAGGAGGGACTGGTGCACTTCACAAAATAGATGGCATCATGAGGAAGGAAAATGATGTGGATATATTGAAGCAACATCTCAAGACATCAGTCAGGAAGTTAAAGCTTGGTCACAAATGGGTCTTCCAAATGGACAATGACCCCAAGCATACTTCCAAAGTTGTGGCAAAATGGCTTAAGGACAACAAAGTCAAGGTATTGGAGTGGCCATCACAAAGCCCTGACCTCAATCCTATAGAAAATGTGTGAGCAGAACTGAAAAGCGTTTGCGAGCAAGGAGGCCTACAAACCTGTCTCAGTTACACTAGCTCTGTCAGGAGGAATGGGCCAAAATTCACCCAACGTATTGTGGGAAGCTTGTGGAAGGCTACCGGAAATATTTTACCCAAGTTTAAACAATTTAAAGGCAATGCTACCAAACACTAATTGAGTGTATGTAAACTTCTGACCCACTGGGAATGTGATGAAATAAATAAAAGCTGAAATAAATCATTCTCTCTACTATTATTCTGACATTTCACATTCTTAAAATAAAGTGGTGATCCTAACTGACCTAAAACAGGGCATTTTTACTAGGATTAAATGTCAGGAATTGTGAAAAACTGAGTTTAAATGTATTTGGCTAAGGTGTATGTACACTTCCGACTTAAACTGTATCATCCACTCAACCACACACACACTGGAAATACAACACACACAGAGGCTAGATAAATCCTGTGTTGAAACTCATCACACTGGTCCATAAACTTCCTCTGAGATTCAGCCAAAACCCGGGGAGATTTTTGTGTTCAGTTAGCATGGCTTTGTCAGATCACCTGGCGAGAATGCTGTTTGTTTTCCCCTTTCAATCCCTCAAGCGGTGATGCATATGTCACATCTTTGCATGTGTCTTCAGCCTGCCTTTTGACTGCTTGGTTTCACCCAATTACTGTGATGAAACAGACACTCCACGGAGGGAAATGATGAAAAAGGACAGACACTGGGCCACGTCACCTACCAGGTGCTAACAACACAGCACGCAATCTGGGCTTTGAATTGGGCTGCTAATAAGTCTGTGGCTACAATATTTATATTACGTAGGTATTAGAATATAGTGTGTCTTCTCTATTCCTCTGTGACTAGGGGCAAACAAGTTTTGGTGGAGGGGAGAGAAAATGGACCATGATATCAAGCAGCCCTTGTCTCACTCTCCTTGCGTTTTTAGTCATTCCTGGAGAACAGTGTGTCTGAGTCTGACCCAGATAAGAAGAGAACACAGAGCGTGACCAGGAAGGAACACCCGACCTACACTATTCCTATTCCACCAAGCCCAAGGCTGCTCTGCTCTGTGAGTACACCCTCAGAGAGACGGCCGCCTTTGAAGCCTGCAACACTTCCCCCCTCTCCTTATCTATCCTCTTCTCCCTCTCTTCTCTCTTTCTCCCTCTTCCTGCCTCTCTCTCTCACACTCCCTAACTCTCTCCATACGCCCTCTCTTATCTCTCTCTGCCCTCTTTCTCCTTCCTCCAGCTCTCTGCCATTCTTTCAGAACTCTCTAAACCCTCTCCTTCACCCTCTCCCTCCCCTACATAGTCTCTGTATCTCTGTTTCTCTCTCTCTCTCTCTTTCTCTCCCCTCTTTCTCTCTGTCTATCTGTGTGAGTGCCCTCCACTAGTCTCAGTACTACTCAGGTTTCATTAGAGTCTGGAGCTTTAGAGAGAAAACGGATCTAAATGATCCTTTTAATTCCCTGGCACCATCACCATTCACATCTCACTCCATCTCTCCGAGTCACTCTCACACACTCCTTCTCCCTCCCTCCCTCTCTCTATCTGAGCTGTTCTATGAAGAAGACTCATGATTAATAAAAAAAACGGCATGTTTTTTTTTATAGTGCGGTTGACACTTGGTGGAATGATCATACATGAAGATGTATACATCGGCATTGCGTACCCTTGCTATCTCTTCCCACATGCTTCCCTCTCTTCCTCCTTATGTTCTCTTTTCCTCTCTCTTTCTGTGTCAATCCCTTGCCGTCACTGTCACTGTGACCGTCAGTGTGTGTGCCTTCGGTGTGCCATGCAGGCACAGTCACGTAGTGGTGGCTGACATAAGGATGTGGTGGTGGCTCCGTGGCTGGCTGCACCCTGAAGAGCAACTAGAGAACACTTTAAAGGCTGCCTGACAGCTGGTGAAGAGATTCACTACAGCCCCAGGGGCCCATGCACCCTGTGACTGTACACACACACACATGCTTGCTGCAGGGCAATACACACTCTTAAGTCCTGCATAAATATACCCACACACACTGTGGCGCTCACAAACACACACTCACGTACACACCACCGGAGGTTGGTGGCACCTTAATTGGGGAGAACAGGCTTGTGGTAATGACTGGAGTGGAATTGGTGGAATTGTATCAAATACATTAAAGACATGGTTTCCAGGTGTATGATGCCATTCCATTTGCTCCATTACGGCCATTATTATGAGCCGTTTTCCCCTCAGCAGCCTCCTGTCGTACGCATGCATGTGTAAAGACACCTCTCTCTCTCTTTTAATCATTATACAATGCATATATGCAAATATTGCATACACACTTCACACAGCTACACACAGTGTCACAAAGTGTCACCTAATTATAAATTATATATATTTTTAAATAAAATAATACTGCAGGCATTAACACTGCTGTGTCTCTCTCCTTCCTACCGTGAGGCATGTACACACACACACACACACACACACACACACACACACATACACACACACACACACACACGCATCGCTGAGGTCACATGCTGTCACTATAGGCACTCGAGTGGAGCTTCTTTCCTAGGGCTCCTTCCAATCATCTTTTTCAGGAAGCAAAAACAAAAAACAAGCAGTGCGGCATGAAAAATAAAATGTAGGGGAAAAAAAGGAAAACATTGCCAACTTTTAGGTCTAGGTAGGTTGGCCAGAAATAATTGGCTGTCATGGACAAGGAAGGTAGAGTTAATTTTCAAAGCTGGACCAAGGAACAATGCAAGGACAGAGCAGGGGACAGTAAGAGGACAGGGAAGAGATAGAGTGGCCTTCCTTCAATGTTTCCAACAAGCAGAACCTGGAACGATGTCTAGGTCACTACAAGCACTGGTGGCTTAGAGGAGAGGAAAGGCTAGGGAAGGCATTCCTGTTCATGTCTTCCTTAGAGGAGAAATGATGAAACAACCTATAAACCCAGAGAGATCATTTTCCCTGTCTGCAAACAGGCTTTGGGGTGTAATGCCCTGGGTGTGCCGCTGCAAAATGCTTGTAAATGGCGCTGGTGGCCACTCTCCTAACAGCTTCCCCGGAGCCCTGCACGCTGCTTCTTGTCACGTCATCCCTGTGACAAACACTCTCTGCACTGTTATTGGCATAATGAGTTTTAGACAGCCAGGGTTGCAGCTTTTTATTTCACCATTATCTGTAGAGGACAATGAAGCGTGAGAGGCAGGAGTCTGTCAGCCACAGTGTGTGAAAAGATCCTTTGGCAGCTCATTTGAAAGTGCCATCTGAGAGAAGGGATATAGAGGTGTGAAGAATAGGAGCCAGTAAACATGCTAAATGCCTCAGCATGCAGCATGGAGATGAGCTCTCACACACAAAATCATACACAAACACACACGCACATACACACAAAACTAAAATACACAATGACAATGACACTCACACAAAAACATCCTCACACAAGCTAATAAAAAACCGACAAATACTCAAAGAAAAACACAAACAGTATAATCATAAAATATAAGCCTATTGATAAAAATTGCAGCTGTTGGAAGAATTATAACTTGGCTTTACTTCAAGAACTTGCATATAGTATGTGTTTAATTCATGCCTTTCAGATATATATTCTCCTTTGGAAGCTGTCCCAACACCTTTCGTGTCACTAAAGTCTATGTAGTCTATGGAGCACAGTATTATTATAATACAGTATATATATATATATATATATATATATATATATATATATGAGTAACCCATCCTCCCTTCTATTCCCCGACCCCACCACTCACCTTCCTGCAGATACATGACAGCCTGTGAGTAGTTCTGCAGCGCGTGGTGTGTCCTCCCCAGGCTACCGTAGGCCAGGGTCTTGGCTGCCAGGTCGTTGGTCTGAGCTGCAACACTCAGATGCTGCTCCTGGAACACCACCGCACGCTCATAGTTGCCTAGCGACTCATAGGTGAGGCCCAGGTTGCCATAGGCACGGCTCTGTCGGGCGGGGCTGCCCGTCTCCTCTGCGATCTCCAGGTCACTCTGGTGGCAGCGCAGGGCAGTCTCGTACTCCCCCATGGACTGATACACCACACCCAGGCCGCAGCTAGCGTCACCCTCTAGTGGGCGGTCCTGGGTGTCGCGGGCGATGCCTAGCTGGCGCTCCAGACAGGAGATGGCCTGTTCATAGTTCCCCAGCTGGCTGTGGAGAGCCCCCAGCTCCCCGTAGGCCTGGGCCTTCCCTCCACACTCACCAAGCTCATGGGCCACCACCAGCCGCTTCTCAAAGCAAACCAGGGACTGCTGCAGGTTACCCATCGCCCTGCAGGGGGAGACACAGAGTCAGGGCAGGACGAGGGGGAGTCAAACAGGGTCAACTGGGCAGACAGGGAAAGAGTTAGGTTAACTACATTATATGCCTACTAAAACACCCTGTAATTGCCATCTGGTGCTTTGAACAAACAGACTCGTGCCACAGAGACTGTGTCCTCCAAGCGCACTCCTCTCACAGTAACCCTGTTCATCTCTCTGCTTATCTCCTATCACAGGGATAGTAGAACAGCTTTTATCTAATCTGCACATATGGCCACATTGTGCTATAAGGGAAGAATGAGGAACACACATCACATTGTCACAACAGCAGGAACTATGCCATTTGCCAAGGTCTGCATCATTTCAGTGGGAATTAATATTCAGATTCCCAACAAAAAGCACAGCAGATGACTCTCTGAGGACTGTGTGTGTGTGTGTGTGTGTGTGTGTGTGTGTGTGTGTGTGTGTGTGTGTGTGTGTGTGTGTGTGTGTGTAGCAACGCGCATGCCATCTACTTCCTGTTTGAAGGGTGCAAAATCCACTTGATTGATTGCTTTCATTTTACTCCTGTGACTCTTTCATATTCTTGCTTGTGCCTGTCGTTTTTCCTGTTAACATTATGACCACGGAAATGTTTGTAATGACCTGTCAAACACTCCGGTAATGGCTGAAATGGGCTCAATGGAATACATTGTCTTTCCATTTAATCTATAGAAATGCAGGGCCTCCCGAGTGGTGCAGCGGTCTAAGGAACTGGATCGCAGTGCTTGAGGCGTCACTACAGACCCGGGTTCAATCCCAGGCTGTGTCACAATTGGCGTGACCGGAAGTCCTGTAGGGCGGCGCACAATTGGCCCAGCGTTGTCCGGGTTAGGGGAGGGTTTAGCCAGGGCTCATCGCGCTCTAGTGACTCCTTGTGGTGGGCCGGGTGCCTGCAGGCTGACCTTGGTTGTCAGTTGAACGGTGTTTCCTCCGACACATTGGTGCGGGCAGTTGTTAAAATGCGCGGTTTGGCGGGTCATGTTTCGGAGGACGCATGACTCGACCTTTGCCTCTCCTGTTGGGGAGTTGCAGCGATGAGACAAGATCGTAATTGGATATCATGAAAAAAGGGGTAAAAAAAAAACAACACTTTATGCCACATATAATTGTCTTTATTTTAACAACAAAATATTTTTTAAAATACCTGATAAAATAGGAAAATGTATATATGAGTGTTTTTTTCTTCTTCTAAGATTTCTTTACATTTATTTGACAATAAATGGAATACTTGAATTCTCACCAAAATCCCTCAACTCATTATTTGTCAAATCAAATCAAAGTTTATTGGTTGCGTACACAGATTTGCAGATGTTATCACAGGTGCAGAGAAATGCTTGTGTTTCTTGCTCCAACAGTGCAGTAATACCTAGCAATAAAAAACAATAAACACATAATCCAGAAAAATACACAAATAAATAATATAGGATGAGCCATGACTAGAATACAGTGTACAAAACATTAGGAATACCTTCCTAATATTGAGTTGCACCCCCTTTTGCACTCAGAACAGCCTCAATTCGTAGGAGCATGGACTACAAGGTGTCGAAAGCGTTCCACAGGGATGGTGGCCCATGTTGACTCCAATGCTTCCCATAGTTACGATGTCCTTTCGGTGGTGGACCATTCTTGATATACATGGGAAACTGTTGAGTGTGAAAAACCCATCAGCGTTGCAGTTCTTGACAGACTCAAACCGGTGCGCCTGGCACCTACTACCATACCCCATTCAAAGGCACTTACATATTTTGTCTTGCCAATTCACCGGCAATGGCACACATACACAATCCATGTCTCAATTGTCTCAAGGCTTAAAAATCCTTCTTTAACTTGTCTCCTCCCCTTCATCTACATTGATTGAAGTGGATTTAACAGGTGACATCAATAAGGGACCACCTGGAGTCACCTGGTTAGTCTATGTTTTGTACACTCAGTGTATACATATAAGGTGAGTGAAACAGTATGTAAACATTATTAAAGTGACCAGTGTTCAATGACTCTATGTACATAGGGCAACAGTCTCTAAGGTGAAAGGTAGAGTACCGGGTGGTAGCCGGTACTGGGAGGAGGCCGGCTAGTGGTGACTGTTTAACAGTCTGATGGCCTGGAGATAGAAACTGTTTTTCAGTCTCTCGGTCCAAGCTTTGATGCACCTGCACTGTCTCCGCCTTCTAGATGGTAGCAGGGTGAACAGGCCGTGGCTCGGGTGGCTGAGGTCCTTGATAATCTTCTTGGTCTTTCAGTGACACTGGGTACTGTAGATGTCCTGGAGGGCAGGCAGTGTGCCAGCGGTGATGCGTTGGGCTGACCACACCACCCTCTGGAGAGCCCTGCGGTTGTGGACGGTGCAATTGCCGTACCAGGCGGTGATACAGCCCAACAGGATGCTCTCAATGGTGCATCTGTAGAAGTTTGTGAGGATCTTAGGGGCCAAGCCAAAGGTCGATAAAGGCGCTGTTGCGCTTACTTTACCACGCTGTCTGTGTGATTGGACCATTTCAGGTTGTCAGTGATGTGCACGCCAAGGAACTTGAAGCTTTTGACCCTCTCCACTGCGGCCCTGTAGTCCATGATCAGCTCTTTCGTTTTGTTGACGTTGAGGGAGTGGTTATTTTCCTGGCACCACTCCGCCAGGGCCCTCACCTCCTCCCTGTAGTCTGTCTCATCGTTGTTGGTAATCAGGCCTACCACTGTTGTGTCGTCAGCAAACTTGATTGAGTTGTCCCTGCCAGTAAAATATTTGATGTGTTATAATTTAGTAAATATCTGATGGATTATAAAAATTCAAAAAGTTTGGAGTATCTTCATCCATTGTCTAACTGTTGCATTTGATTTTAAAACCTTTTAACAATTTCGATGACCGTTGCTAATGTGTGTGTAGAGGGAAGAGGCAGGGAATGAGGAAGGGCTGAGGGGGTAATGATACAATCGGCTGGGGGGTGCTAGATAATATAATTCACCTTCCACTTGGCCTAGATGGGATGTCACATGGAAGATACAGGTTCTGTCTATCTCTGTGAATGGGCTTACACACTGGCTAAGACCTGCATTCATACCAAGGTTTTGTTCTCTTGAACGCCTTGCACACGCTGCAGAAACCTTGCAAATAGACCATTTTCACATTCCCAGGCGAAGCAACAATTGCTGGATGTCATTTGAAAAGGACCATTAAAAGAATAAAAGGCTTGAGATTAATTAATGTTGTGTGTTAATGTGAGATGGTTGAGTAAAGTCTCTGGGAGAGAGAGCGCGAGGGCGAGAGCGCGAGGGCGAGAGCGCGAGGGGGATAGAGAGATGAGGAAGTGAGGATGGTAGGAGTCAGATGTACATTCTTCCCCAGTCAGCTCATGTATGGCTAATGCAGGGTTCTGTCTGATTGTTATGGTGGCTTGTTGATGCACAATAAGAGGAAAAAGTATTCTCTGAAATTATGACTCGGTTGCTGCCGCCGCGTTTTGTTTCGCCCTGTATTCTATCAGGATGTTATCAGCTCTCAGACGCACATATGGGGAAGAGAAAGTGGAGAAAAGAGAAAGAATGTAAAAGGTTGTCTCGCATTAACTGCGATTCCCCCAGTTTCAGACGTCTGTCTGCCAAAGCCTCTTTGCATACAGATCAGCTGGGGGTCAGTAGGCCAGCACCAGCCTCACTCAGCCTCAGGATCCTCAACACCAACCGTCAAGGTGTCTCTAAACTATGGTGGTCCTGAAGTGCAAGCACCAGCGCAAGCAGAAAAAACAGCAGCGGGCACAAAATGAAAAAAGGATTACGCAAAGTAGGATTACTATGATTATTAGTAATACCCGTCAAAGCAAATTATCTGTCACCGCAACAACCAGAAGAAATTGATATTGTCAACATTCAATGGCAGAACGGCTTTCTGATTGCAACAGTGGCTTAGGTGTATTAGAAATATGATACCTTTAAATGTTATTAACCGAGAAAAAGACAAATTCAAGTTCTATTTATACTTTCATCAGCAGGACTCTTCATCTATGATTCAGATATTAGCTTTTCGTAACAGGCAATCAAAGATTTCATGGTTTTAGAGTGCTTTTCTTCCAACCACAGATTTTCATTACAGAGCTACAGCACTGTTCAGTGTGGAGCTACAGAGACACCATGTATACCCAATCCAATCCTTTAGTGACACTTTAGTCCAATCACTACTTCAAGAAGAGGACATTTGGACAGATGACAGTGCTTACCTGGAACAGTATCTAAGTGGCTCATTCAGTGGGAAAAGTGGGTTACTGCAGGGAGTGAGAGAAATGCCAATATTTTGTATGATGTTAGGCCTAAAGCAAATTAGCATGATTTGCCTACTGAGTGACTTGATAAAGAGCTGCACTACATGACCAAAAGTATGTGGACACCTGCTCGTCGAACATCTCATTCCAAAATCATGGGAATTAATATGGAGTTGGGCCCCCCTTTGCTGCTATAATAGCCTCCACTCTTCTGTGAAGGCTTTCCACTAGATGTTGGAATATTGCTGTGGGGACTTGCTTCCATTTAGCCACAAAAGCATTAGTGAGGTCGAGCACTGAGTGTGGGCGATTAGGCCTGGCTTGCAGTCGGCATTCCAATTTATCCCAAAGGTGTTCGATGGGGTTGAGGTCAGGGCTCTGTACAGGCCAGTCAAGTTCTTCCACACCGATCTCGACAAACCATTTCTGTATGGACCTCGCTTTGTGCACGGGGGCAATGCCATACTGAAACAGGAAAGGGCCTTCCCCAAACTGTTGCCACAAAGTTGGAAGCACAGAATCGTCTAGAATGTCATTGTATGCTGTAGCATTAAGATTTCCCTTCACTGGAACTAAGGGGCCTAGCCCAAACCATGAAAAACAGCCCCAGACCATTATTCCTCCTCCACCAAACTTTACAGTTGGCACTATGCATTCGTGCTGGTAGCGTTCTCCTGGCATGCGCCAAACTCAGATCCGTCCGTCGGACTGCCAGAAGGTGAAGCGTGATTCATCACTCCAGAGAACGCATTTCCACTGCTCCAGAGTCCAATGGCGGCGAGCTTTACACCCCTCCAGCCGACGCTTGGCATTGCACATGTTGATCTTAGGCTTGTGTGCAGCTGCTCGGCCAAAACAGTTATTGTGCTGACGTTGCTTCCAGAGGCAGTTTGGAACTCGGTAGTGAGTGTTACAACCGAGGACAGACCTGTCAGCAACAGGTGTGTCAGAATTAGTCGAATCCACTAATTTGAAGGGGTGTCCACATACTTTTGGCCAGCGTATAACCAGTTACATTACAGGTTTTTACGTATGTTTAGTAGGGGCTAATGAGCGATGTCACTGACCTGTGTCCATTCCCCAGGCCTCGGTAGGCCTTCTCCTGGTCCTGCATGCGGTTCAGGCTCTGGGCCACAGACAGGTACTGGTCGTAGTATTTAATGGCCTCCTCAAAGTCCCCTAAGGCTTCGTAACAGTCTCCCAGGTTACCATAGGCCCTGCCCCGGTCCAGTACGGCCTCGTTGCCACTCAGCTGCTGCAGGGTGGCCAGTTGTTGCTCCAGGTAGCCTATAGCCTCCTCCATCACCCCTACGTTCATCTTGGTGATGCCCATGTTGCCGTAGACCTGGGCCTCTACCCCCGGGTCCTTCAGTCTGCGGCCCAGCTCTAGCTGCTCCTCGTAGCTCTTGAAGGCCATGGCGTACTTCCCCAGGGCCATGTAGACAGCTGCCAGGTGGCCGTGGGCTTTACACTCCCCGGGCACATCGCCCAGCTCCTGGTACACCTCCAGCTCCTGGGTGTGGTAGCCCAGGGCCTTGTCGTACTTCTGCACCAGTCTGTAGGCGGCACCCAGGGCAGCGTAGGCACACGCCTCCATCCTGCGCTCCTTCATCTGAAACAAAGCACAGATAGGATTTCAGTGCATCAGCAAATGACCAACAGCAACAGTATTACATTAACAGCCCTGCCTTTCAAAATCAATGGAGTGCTGTACTTACTTAAAAGTATATAACGTTAATCTCTCTTACTGTATGCAGACAAAGTGGAGACCTTTCCTGTGACTATGACTACAACCAGGACCTAGTGAATCTCACCTGGTGAGCCAGGGTGAGCTGCTGCTCATAGAACTGGATAGCTCCGGTCACATCCTTCTTGCAGACAAAGATGTCCCCCAGGTTGCCCAGGGCTCGGAAGCGGGCCTGTGCATTATTAAGAGACTGGGCTAAAGAGAGCAGGTACTTCTGACACTCCTCTGCCTTGGTAAAGTCACCCAGAGCCTTGAAGGCCAGTCCAAGGTTACAGTAGGCCTTGGCCTGGCTCAGCTTGTCATGCAGGTCCTTAGCCAGGGCTAGGTCCTGCTCATAGTACTTGACAGCGTCCTGGTAGCTTCCCAGACAGTAGTGGGCGTAGCCCAGGTTGTGGCAGACTTTCCCCTCACTCTCCATGTCCTGGAGGTCAGGGGACAAGCGAAGGTACTGCTCGTAGTAGGGCACGGCTTGGGGGAACTCTCCCCGGGAGCAGTGGAAGTTCCCCAGGTTGCCCAGTGCGCGAGCCTCACTCTGGACGTCTCGCAGCTCGCGGGCGATGTTGAGGTGGTTCTGGTAGTGCTGCAGGGCGCGGTCGTGGGCCCCCAGAGCCTGGTAGGCCACGGCCAGGTTACCATGGGTGGAGGCCTGGGAGGCTCGGTCGTTGACCTCCATGGAGATCTGTAGCTCCTGGCGGTGGTAGCGCACAGCCTGGTCAAAGGCCCCCAGCGCGTTGTAGGCGTTGCCCATGTTACCGTAGGCCCGGCCCTGGGCAGCATAGTCACTGAGCTCCTGGGCGATGGAGAGGTGGGTTTTGTGGAGTTTCAGTGCAGTCTCATAGTCTCCTTTCATCTGGTGGATAATGCCTGTGGACAGGGGAGAGGAGAGAGGGAGAAGAAGAGGAAGGGGGCAAGATTAATATCCCATTCACAGGAAAATAGGAGTTCACTTCAAGTGCCTCATCAGACAGCCACATTATGTAGAAAGCAACAGTCATTTGGTAGTTAAAATATGCTTTCTGCTGAGCCATCTGTTCCCTGATCAGGGAGCACACGTTCCACATGAAATATGGTCATTAAAATGAAGCACAATCACACAGCGTTATAAAGACATCAAAATGGAATCATTCCATTGTCTAAACTGTCCTTGATGATTGTGTCTTGAAATAATATCAGCAAAACCAACTTTTCCGCAGGGACTGAAACAACTGAGAAGGAGAGAGAGAGAGAACAAGAGAGCGAAAGAGTGGGCAGAGACGATTAATAACAGAGAACCCTTTGGATCTTTTATAAAACACCATCCTCCTGAAAGCAAAAGCTTTATCCTTGTAGCCAGCATGCACATACACACAGCGGAGTGTCTATCCATCTCTATCCATCTAGCCTCCTTTCCTCTGAGAGCCACACTCGGCTCTGAGTCCTTCTGACTGTTGTCACCCGTCTTTCCATAAAATTATAATAACACTCCTAATATCAGAGCACAGTGGCTCCCTGGAGCAAGGGAATAGAGGAGGAGAGAAGGGGATGGCCGCAGGCTAGCGGATGTAGTCAGAGCTGGAGCCGGGGCGTAATGATCCTCAACACATAAAGAGAGGATCACACGGCGGGCCTGGCGCTGCATGGTGGGGCGGGCGGAGCACCTATTAATCTAACAGGCCTGGCTAACTGTGGCTCCCCTGCATTGGCATCAGTGTGGGCTAATGGGACTGGGAGACCAGCCGCACCACTCAGAGGGCACTGGGACGGGGACGGGCCCGCCTTGGCAGGGTAGTGTGGGAAACAGGGAAGTGGGACAGGAGAGGGGGGCATTTGTGGGTTGTGGTGGGAACTTGATGGTGCCACTGGGATTAGCGACCACCATGTGCGTTTTCTGACTTTTCCCTACCAGAACCTGCCACAGTACTGGCGCATGCAGAGGCTAAATAAACAGACGGTAAACAGCCAACTTAACAAACCCAAAATGACATGACTACTGGCGCTATAGATGTGGAGGCCATTAGAGTTGTTTGTTCAGTTAAAAGCCTTTCTTGTTTTATTTTGTATTCAATTTTGTGGTATCCAATTGGTAGTTACAGTCTTGTCCCATCGCTGCAACTCCCGTATGGAATCAGAAGAGGCGAAGGTCGAGAGCCGTGCGTCCTCCAAAACACAACCCAGCCGAGCCGCACTGCTTCTTGACACAATGCCCGCTTAACCCGGAAGCCAGCCGCACCAATGTGTCGGAGGAAACACTGTACACCTGGCGAACGTGTCAGCGTGCACTGCGCCCAGCCCGCCACAGGAGTCGCTAGTGCGCGATGGGACAAGAATACCCCTGCCGGCCAAACCCTCCCCTAACCTGGACGATGCTGGGCCAATTGTGCGCCGCCCCATGGATCTCCCGGTTGCGGCCGGGATGTATAAATCCAGGTATCAAGGAAGGGGGATTACCCACACAAGGTCAATTGGATGGCAGCATATTTATTTGATTTGCCTAGCCCATAGATAGTGGCGTAGCCCCAATCCATAGATGGGCTCACCTTTGTGATAATTCACCCCCAGTTCCATCACAGTTTTACAGTGTAAAGGAAAGCCCTCAGTAGAGGTGGAACAGTAGTTCAGCACTTGATTGTTTCTGTGTAGTTCTGTCTCAAGGTTAAAATGTCATAGACTTACCTGAATCAGTAATCATCAGGTCAACACCTGAAGGAATGAACATGCTAAGCATACTACAGACAAAACAAGAGACAGTACAATTCTTTGTACAGATTGCCAGAAAGAATACAATATGGATAAGTAACATACTGTATAAAGAATTGATCAACTGTTACTAACACTTTTATAATGACAAATGGTAGGCAGAATAGGCTTTTGGCATTGGATGTCTACAGTTACAGTAGACTGACATTGGCACATCACATATCATGGACAGAGCCCAGCCTCAAGCCCAGCCTCAAGCCCAGCCACAGTCCCAGTTCCAGCCCAGCCTAGGCCCAGAGCATGTTAACATTCACAGCAGGCTGGTCGGAGGAGCACTGACCGCCTTCTCCCTCCACAAAGTCATTGCCAAGGTTATGTCTTCCCTTTGGAGCTTATCCCACAGAGGGTATAATGCCTATTGATGTATCACCAGCTAACATGGCCCCAGCCCTCCCCTGAGTCCCCTGTTTGAGGCTAAAATTGGAGATGGGATCTGGGGCTCAAGGGCTGGGGTGTGGGCTGGGGAGAAAGGCTGGAGTTGGGGCTGGGGGTGAGTTTGGCGCTGGAGCTACACCTGGAGCCGGAAGAGATGAGGACCTAAGGCTATGCCGGGGGCCAGACAAGTGGTCAGAAAACAATCTCTGTCTCCGCCAAATTGTAAGAGGATTACAAGAACCCCTGGGTCCCTGTATGATAGTAAATAATAGCATGTTTTGGGCCTCAGGTGGTAAATGCTGTTGGTACACAAACCAGGGGGAATGATGGTGATTGGCTGGACAGCTGGATAAGAAAGGGGGAGTGATAGATACACTGATTTCAAATGACCCCATCAAGAAGTAATTCTAAGAGAGAGGAGGGATTGACTCCTGTGGACCCCTGTTATGGCCATGCAATTCACTCCGACTGCACAAAAAGCATTTCTCTCAGACTGCACAATAAGCTTTGTTATGTTACATACAGTATATAAGCTAAATCCCAGAGGTTATTTGAGTCTGCAGCTCCATAATTTCCATCTGCACAGTGAGCACAGACAATGACTGTGAAAAAAGAGGGATCAAACAACAAGCAAAATATCCCTCACTCGCCACACACACACACACACACACACACACACACACACACACACACACACACACACACACACACACACACACACACACCTACTTTATCCCATTCACCACCCCGTATCTAAAGACATTAAAAGGTGGGCAATGCGTTGTCACTTTGCATTACACAGGCGCGCAGTGTGAGAGAGAAATGCTGCAATGATGACTTTGAGGGATGGTGTGTTGTTCTTAGTAAATCACTGTGTCATTCTGTGCTGTGTGTGGAGGGAGGCTGTGGAGGTCTGCAGCTCTGTGGAGCTGTCTGCTAGCTGCCTCTCTACTCTGCTGCTCTGCTCTGCCCAGCTAAGAGGATTTCAGCAACAATAGAGTCTCTGCCACTGTGCCGGGGTGATACCAGGGATAGAAGAAAGATGGCCAATCACCAAGCAGCCATCGGCCCTGGCCTAGAATTCAAACTCTAGCTTACCCTCCATTCATATTTCAGTTAGCCCAACACTGTGTCAACACAAGGGCTTGAAGAATGAATACAAAACAACATATTCAATTGTTATGTACAAATCAATGGTCTAGAAAATTGCAGGACCAATTTAAAGTGGTTAGAATGTAAAAAAGCAGATGCATAATTGCTTTCTAGACATTAACACTGGGTGCTGTGTGTGTTGAGACCTGTGGGGAGCGGTAGAGAGCTGAGGCAGAGAAGGCAGGCAGGGTACTGAGTGGGGGTGGGGTGGAGTGGAGTGGGGGTCTGGGTCTGGGTCTGGGTCTAGGCTTAGGTACCAAATCCTCACTCACAAACACAGACATCTCCCACGGCCTGACAGACACGCTGAGAGAGACAGGAAGGTGGAAGATAAAAAGAAAGGGGGATGGATAGATGGATGTGTGCTGAGTGGGAGGCCTGCCAACACAAGCACACACAGACAGGCCGCTGCACCCCTCCACCCCTCCTTCCTCTCCGCTCTCTCCAGCTGACCCTTCATTATCCTGCAGGACTGTTACGGCTAACCCTGCTAAACCACAGTGAAACCTCTGTTACTTCTGGATCTATGATAGCTCTGGATAGTTATGTATCTTATCCTCAATGTCCAGAGCATTGAACAAGACAAGTTTTATTGCGCCTCAGGTTTTCCATTTTGTAAAGAGATCAAATTCCATTTTGAAGTTGTGGATGGGCTAAGGAAAAGGCAGCTATACATTTTCTAAATGCAAAGGAATGCTGTTGCTGTTTTGTTTGAGTTAATAGTGACACAGTGAATGGATTCATAATAAACACATACAGTACATAGCTATACGTGGAAGGTGGGAATGTGGGAGAATGTTGGAACAGGCTTCCAGTCCAGTATTTGGCATTGTCCTCTGTCATGAGACTGGGCTGAAGGGGGCCATGGAGAGGGGGAACTAACTGCTGCTTTTCCATGAACATGACAGTGGGCCAAGCAGCATAGATCTGATACATTAGGAACTCTCCAGAAGAGGAGAAAGAGACTGGCATCCAATGTAATCACCTCAACCCCCCTACCCTCCCTCTGTCCATAGTAAAGTATATAAGAATCACAACCCCCTCCCTCCATACACAGTATAGTAACTAGGTGTTTTCCATTCCAGTCCTTCCTGTCTGTGTGCCCTGAACCAGGGGCATGGCAGGTTATATTTACCTGTGGAACATTAACAGCACGGCCCTGTTGGCCCTAATGATCCTGAAGAAAGACCTTGAGATGTCACCTCAACAGGATAAATGCACATGTTATGTTTGGTTTCCCTCACTCCCTGTCTCCTTCCCTCTAGCATTCTTCCATTCACTCTGTCTGTTCCATTAGGCTGGATAAATTCCTCTGTAAATCCAGCCGCTGCTCTCCTACCCCTGCCTTCTCCCCTCCCTCCTTATAAAAAGACTAGGCTGTTTCCAACGACAACCAACCTGAGATCTCTCCCTCCCTGACTGCCTCAGTCTGCTGTCTGCTCCAGACCACATGGCTGTGTTTCTGTGTGAGCCATGTAGCCAATCCCCTGCAGGACTCCACAGAAGACTTTTCATGTTGGGGTTAGGGAGAGTATATTAGGAAAGGCCTAAAGCCATTTCAACTCAGAGTTTCTCTCTCTCCCTCACCCTGAATCTCTCCTGACCCAGTGAGTAGTACACCCAGAACAGTGTTCTTTATAGCTCTGTTCTGTTGGGCTCTGCCCACTGGGCACAGACGTCAATTAAACGTCTATTCCACGTTGGTTCAATGTAATTTCATTGAAATGATGTGGAAACAACGTTGATTCAACCAGTGTGTGCACAGTGGGTGTGCTGTTGTTTTGTTGCGTTTCCTGCTTGATTTAGCTTTGTCTCAGCATTAAGAGGTCCTCTGGGAACCAGGGTGAAAACAAGGAAAGTAATAGCTTAATTAAAACTGTTACCTCCGGCCCTGTTAACTGATGGAGTCGCCATTTCAAAATACTTTTTTTAGAAGAGAGGGCGAGAAGAGAGGGAGAGAAGAGAGGGAGAGAAGAGAGGGAGTGAAGAGAGGGAGAGAAGAGAGGGAGAGAAGAGAGGGAGAGAAGGGTACAAACAGCTTCCAAACAAACTTATTAAAAACCTCTTTGAAGTGAATTGCAGGAGAAAATAATACAATTTAGATTCTGTTTCATGAATAACAGAAATGTGAGCTAAATGCAAAAGCCACCACTCCAGTCCTCTCCGAGATATTAAATAATGCTGACTAGGGGGTAAGTTAGCCGGTTAATGAATAATAAACAGAGGCTGGAAAGCAACATTTTCATATCCTTTATAGGTCAGCATGCACTGAGCCAAGGCTCCTGTCACCACTGGGCATCAGTCAGCCAACCAGCCTCAGTAATAAAGCATGTTACTATCTGTCACGTTCGTTTACAGACGGGACGGACCAAGGGGCAGCGTGATATGCATACATGTTTATTTAAAGGAATAAACAACCGACAAAATAACAAACAAAACAAAACGTGAAGTCCAAGGCAGCACAGCACAACATACCTTAACATGGAACAAGATCCCACAACCCACTAGTGCCAATAGGCTACCTAAGTATGGGCCCCAATCAGAGACAACGAGCTACAGCTGCCTCTGATTGGGAACCACACCGGCCAACATAGATCTAAACGATCTAGATCTAAACATAGAAAATGCAACATAGAACAAACCACACAGAAAATACACACCCTGACTCAACAAATACGAGTCCCCAGAGTCAGGGCGTGACACTATCGCTGTGCTGAGCAGAGTGCTAGCTGGCTACATGCTACCTGTAAGCCATGACAGGGGCCGCTCCACCCTCTCCACGTCAACATAGATCATCAGAGAAGACCTGAGAGCAGAATAAAAGATCTGGGGAAAAATACTTTCTTTCTTCATGTTCTCTACCCCTCGCTATACGACACTGCTATTTCTCTCCTCTCTTAAGCTTGTTAATCTTACGCTTGATCATGTCTTCTCGTTTTGTGTACAACATGTTTTATCTCTGCATGGTGGTGATTCAAAGCTAGAGGACTGTACAGTAGGCTACAGTATGTCAAGTTGGCTACAGTATGTGGGGGAATGACTAGGCAACAACAACATTCCTCCCACCACCATCACCACAAACAACAACAACAAAAACAGTGTAATCATATATATATATTTTTACCCACTTAATTCTCTGTCATCTTCATTATTCAGCTCTTGGAGAATCAGCTATTAAAGGTAATTAAGCGATTCATCAAGTCAGTTTCAATTACTTGGAGCCTGACAGCCGCAGATTACAATCACTAGAGGTGAGGGGAAAAGAGAGAGAGCCAGAGATAGAGAAAGAAAGAAAGAAAGAAAGAAAGAAAGAAAGAAAGAAAGAAAGAAAGAAAGAAAGAAAGAAAGAAAGAAAGAAAGAAAGAAAGAAAGAAAGAGAGAGAGGACAGAGAGGTAAGGCCCTGTCAGGCAGAGAGAAGGAGAGCAAGGATAGAGAGAATAAAGAAACAAGGAAAAAGGGGAATGGAAAAACAAGAGGTAGATACAGGAGGGCAACATCAACACAATCACCTAACACTCCACCTCCCTCCCAGCCATCACCATGAAGCACTGCAGCTTGTCCTTGGCAGTACGGAGCAACAGGCCCACTCTCCTCTTCCTCCTCCTCCTCCTCCTCCATTGTGCTCTGGTTTTGTCACAAGCTGTGGCTTTTTGACGCTACATCAAATACAATGTAATTATTGTGTCATGGAATTTGAAGTCTTGTTGCTGCCGATGTATACTTGCTGTTACTGGTGGGACTAAAGATCCTCTTGATGCCAAGCTAGCTGGAAAGAAGGGCACAATCTTTTAATTTTTTTCCTGGGGCCCCCCCTGGGTGCACGTTTGGGTTTTTTCCCTAGCACTACACAGCTGATTCAAATAATCAAAGCTTGATGATGAGTTGGTTATTTGAATCAGCTGTGTAGTGTTAGGGCAAAAACCAAAATGTGCACCCAGGGTGGGCCCCCCAGGACCAAGTTTGGGAAACTCTGGACTACGGTGCCCTGGCTAAGAAATGCACTGCCCCCTATTGCAGGGCTCAAATGTAGCATCATAAACTGTACTCGCTAGAGGCCCTGTTTTACGACCTTTCTGAATATTCATAGATGGAACCTAAGTGCTTACCGCACTGGTTGGGTGTTATGCTGGTCAAAGGCGAGCAGCGTCAATTTATCTTTGGCTGATTGACCTTGGTCCCTGCTTCCACACTCTCACTTCTGAGGATAGCAATAAGTCATCCTGGAGAACCATTATGTATCTTAGTTGTCCATTAGAGTCAGCTTTAACTGTCTTGATGGCTGTCGTAAGCCATGCCACCAACATACTGTATATTGTAATGGCTGGACTCAAATACAGCTGAATGTGCTATGTCGTAGACCTCTCCTTAGAGGTGGGACGATAAACCATAAATGATCGACATTGACAATGGCATTTTGCTGATATCGTTCATTACGATAAGTAGCCTATACTGGAGAAATGTGAAGTTTGAAATGAAACAAGTTTGCTAATAAGAGTGATTGTTATTGGGAGAATTGATGGCTACAACCATCAAACTAGTTGTCACGTTTGTTGAAGGACGGGTCAGACCAAGGCGCAGCGTGAAATGCATACATGTTTATTATAAAAATAAACACACGAACAAAAACAACATAACGTGAAGTCCTCAGGCTAAACACAATACAAGCCTATACACAGAACAAGATCCCACAACTAAGGATTGCAAACAGGCTACTTAAGTATGATCCCCAATCAGAGACAACGAGCAACAGCTGCCTCTGATTGGGAATCACACCCGGCCAAACATAGATGTAGAACAACTAGAACTAAACATAGAATATACAACATAGATTTCCACACCCTGACTCAACATACAAGAGTACCATAAGTCAGGGTGTGACAGTACCCCCCCCAAAGGTGCGGACTCCGACCGCACAAACCTGACATAACAGGGTAGGGTCCGGGTGGGCATTCTGCCTCGGAGGTGGATCCGGGGCGTGACAACCACATTCTCTCAGCCACCCCGTTGCGCCCCTGGTCTGGTCTGGACCTCGGCGCGCTGCTTCCCCTCTCCTTCCTCCCACGATGCACCAAGCCCTGTCTGGGCCCTGGTGTGGGAGACCCCGAACCTGGAGAGGGGCTGACGTCTGGGTCTGGACTGGAGCTGCTGACCGGAGCTGGACTGGGCACCGGTGGAGCGGACTGAACTGGCTCCGGAGTGGAGCTGCTGACCGGATCTGGACTAGGCACCGGTGGAGCGGACTGCTCTGGCTCCGGAATGGAGCTGCTGACCGGAGCTGGACTATGCACCGGTGGAGCGGACTGCTCTGGCTCCGGAATGGAACTGCTGACCAGAGCTGTACTGGACCCCGGTGGAGTGGAATGCTCTGGCTCCGGAGTAGAACTGCTGACCGGAGCTGGACTGGGCACCGGTGGAGCAGACTGCTCTGGCTCCGGAGTGGAGCAACCGACCGGAGCTGG